GGGTTTAGGCTTTAGGGCTCAGGGTTTTCCTTTGCGAGTTCGTTTAAGGGTTGCAGAAAAGGTTCTGGCAAGGGTTCTTTTAAGTGGAAACAGGATTCGGGTTTGGGGGTTTTTAGGGGCCTACAAAGGATTGCAAGAGGGTGCTGAGGCCCTTTTCAGCATCTTTCAGCAGTGTCTCATCACAGTTCCTGATCTCACTAGCCACGCCAGCATGTGGAGGCTGGATCCGCTGAAGTGTTGAAACGGTGGCCTGCGGCGGCCTCCCACAATGATTGTTTCTGCTTGTGGGTGCAGCACAAGTAAAATGTGCAGAAAGGTCATCGAGCATGGAAGACAAGCATTTCGGTTACCAGGCCTCGCTTCTTCAAGTCCTGTTCGTGCCCAAGCCATGTTTCGAAAGCTATGTTGGGCTTGGCGTGAAGATAATGAGCGAGCTCATCCAGGGTGCAGAGACGGCCAGCCCGGTGGCTTTCCAAAAGGGTCGGTTTAGGGCCAGTGGGTTTAGGTATGGCCCCTTACCTACAGGCCATAACCCTCAAACAGGTTGGGTTTAGGACATGACAAACCCTCAACCCTAAACTTTAGGCCCTCAACCTCGGACGAGAACTCGATGGGGTCTTGCAAGATCTACCTTCAACTACCAAAACCTAACTTGTTGGAGAGTGCTCATAACTATTTCCGTGTCAGATCTTATAAGATGAACACTGCGAAGACAGTAGGTTATGGCAGTGGAAGGTACTCGACCAAAAGACCACAGCCCGAGCAAGAACAAACCCCCAAAGGTTCGGAGGGGGCTTGGGGTTTAGGGTTTTGGATTTTTTCGAATCCCTCACGCCCAAGCCTAAATCGCAAGCCTAAACACTAGACTCTACACCCTTATGGATCCCTTTGAAGAAACCCCTGTAGATCCCTTCAATTCAAAGGAACCAGTATAGATTAGATCCCTTTAAAGGAAGCCTACACGACAGCCTAACCCGTTTTAGGTCCCAAAGCGCAGGCGGGTAGTTGGAGGGTCGGGTGAGTGAGTAAGTGGTTGTTCTATGGACCAACAAGTCTCAACACCCCAATTGTGTTTTTTTAATCCTTTCAGAGTACTCATAAGCCCCCCAAGCCAAAGGGTCCAAAGTGCCTATATAGTAGAATGTAGGGTTTCTATATTAGGAATTTCAGTTATGATTTGGGGAACTGTTCACCATAACAATAGCTAGGACTCTTTGGGGTCTACTGGTTATCGACTGACTACGGTTGATGATATCTATATATATATATATATAATATATAATAAGGAATATACCATGTTTAGGGTCCTTAAGGTAATGCAGGATTTATATCATCAACCGTAGGTCCCACGGCCTTTCAAGTATTTAGCACCCGACACTGGCCGCAGGAAAGGCCGCTTGCTGCGCTTCCGGCCTCTGGGGTAGGCTCGGCTCCATCTTCAAGGGTTCCTCTAAAGGGAACTCCAGAAAGTTGGAATATGGTTTCATGGTAGGATACCCTGTAATTTACCATAGAAGGGTTAGGATAATCATATTCCAACTTTCTGGCTTTTACCTTAGGGGTTTAGGGTTCAGGGGTTTAGAGTTTCGGGGTTTAGGGTTTAGATATGATTTTCCTTCAAGGGTTCCGAGGAAGGTTCCAGAAGCGTTTCGAGTTTTGGGCTTGAGGGGCTGTTTTTGTTGGGGGTGTGGGGTTTAGGGCTTGACAAACAGCCTATGCATTCGGAACAATGCCTGACGGTAACTCATGAATATGTGCGACTCTCTTCCTGATGAGCTTATCTTTGTACTACGCAGACATAACCTTGATCCTCCTCACATGAAAACCCCAGGCTCCCATACAGTTGTACTGTTGATGATATAAATCCTGCATTACCCTAAGGAACCTATAGTATGGGAATTATGGTATATTCCGTATTATGGGTAATGCAGGATTTATATCATCAACCGTACTTATCCATGACACACAATTTCCCGCAACACCGGGCGCATATCTTAAGATGGCAGGTCCTACAAAGGCCCGGTACTCAAGCTCTAGTAAGGGCTTCTTGGGGGGTGTTGGCTGGCCCCAAACTCGTCACCCTAGGCCCTATCCCCAAGCCGTGGGGAAAACAGCCCCGGCCGAGCTCAATGCCAGGAGTCGCTCGGCAGGGCAGCCTACAGTGCTGAGGATTCAGGGAGGTTAGGATGTAGGCTTGTGGTTTAGCACAGACCTTAACCGTAGACCTGAAACAACACCCAACACCTGGGTGCTTAAGGCTTATGGTTTAGGGTTCACACCCTAAACCCTAAACCCTTAGGGTTTAGGGTTTAGGGTTGACCTAAAGTCCCCATTACATTAGTTGCTTGGTCTTTGGATAGACTACGTAGTTGTAAGTTAGTATTTCAAGGAAAGATACTTGGAGGGTCACGGGGCTTAGTAAGTATATCAAAAAGAAACCCCAAACGGGATCCTTGTTAGGGTTATGGTAGGGCTATTTGTCCAGAAAAAGACCTCTTACTATGCCCCCAGGACCCTCCAAGTATAATTACTAGATACTCGGACCGTTGGGGATCGTGGGGCGAGCTTGGCAGGTCCCTCTCGGGCTGCAGGGTTAGGCCTCAGAAGCCAGAAAACAGGGCCTGCTGCGGATGGCTTAAGGTTTAGGGATTAGGGATTATGATGATGAAGATGATGACGGTGAAGATGAGGATGGTCGATTGGGGTTTCTTGAACTATATTCTTCCTTCATCGTCTCGAGTGCTGGGCTCCAATGCCCTTATGGCAAGAGAGAAGGGGAAGGAGCAACCACCTCGTTGCTCTGCGCAGTGTGCGGGCCTTAATTAATGACTGGACAATCTCAAAACGGCTGAACCCCCTCGAACAACGAAGTTTCGAGCATAGGTTGTAAGTGACCCAACCCCTATTTTCCCTCAGCACCCGCTAAACCCCAAACCCTATACCCCTAAACCCTAAACCCTCGCACATCCAACCTACTCACGAGAAGAATCTTCAAGCTGTTTTCTGCACAACTCCCTAAACCCTCAAACACCCAACCGAATCACGAGAAGAATCTTCAAGCTGTGTTCTGCACGAGGAGGACACCGCTGTTCGGCACCCACCTACCCTAAGGGTCCAAGCGCTCAAACTGCATATGGTGTGGCGATGTGGAAAAAATCCCAGAACCATCTTCTGCATCCTCTGGAATACAGAGAGTTGTTTTGCAATGTAATCCCTAACGCACCAAAACCAGAATACACTATCATGGGAAAGTTCCAGGGAAGAGCAGAGGGGGCAGGGTACAGGGTTTGGTGTCGAGGCGTTTAGGGCTTGGGCTCTAGTGGCTTTGGGCCTTTAGGGCTTTGGCTTAGGGGTTTTAGGGTTTAGGGCTTAGGCTTTAGGGTTTTAGGGTTTAGGGTTTAGGGGTTCAGGGTTTACTGCTGGGATCCTGTATATGAGGACCCTCAAGTACGAACCTCTACTTATACACTTCCGAAACTCCTTTGAAACCCCTAGACAACCCAGAACCCTTCTGATTCAAACAATAAAACGCCGTAAACTCTAAAGCACTTCAACGCCCTTAAAATCCCTCTGCAAAAACCTAGACAACCCTTGTAAAACCTGATTTCTTTGACAACCTACCGTTTCGAGCACTTGGACGAACTCTGCCCACGGAAAAAGCTTTGGCAAGCGTAAAGTCCTTGTTTCTTTAGCCTCAACGTGTAGCTGTTCGCTTGCAGGAGCTGTGGCGTAAGATATAAGATTGGGATTTGGGAGTAGGGGTGTAAATTAAATGACTTAAGGCTTTTAGTGTATACTGCCTAGGGGCTGAGGGGTTTGAACAATTAAATGACCACAGTCTTGAATTTCCATTTGTGCAACACTGATTTATGTACAGAACACAGAAGCTTCTTACGATTCTTGCGTGTTCATGCCGCGAAAATGGCTGGCAGTGCTATGGCAGTGGTGCCAAGGCTTGCAGCGTTCATGTTAAAAGGGAAGTGGTGTGAAGCTTACGTTTCCCTAAGACTCCATGTACACTTCTAGTCGTTACTTAGGCCTTAAAGGGGTCCATCTATAGGTACTTTAAGGCTTAAGTACCGACTATATGGGTGAATTTGCGGGCTATGAAGAGTTCAACCAGCCGAGGTCGACGTCTTGGGGTTCCTCTCTCAAGCTTCCTGCAAAGTTTGTAGGACAGGAGGCCCGAATAGTTCGTCAGAATGGGGCTTTGGGTAGATTAATTAATTATAATTACAGCATACTGACATTCTTTTAAAGCCAGGAAATTTCAGGCTTCTATGTTAGGGACTAGGTGATTTTAGTGGACTTCCGCTTGCGATTTTCTGCGACGACACGCCGTCTTGGCGCGAGTGCTTCGGACAGTCAGGCACCTTCCTCAGAAGAGCCCAACAACCCTTCATGAACAGGGAAAACGCCCTAACCGTAACTAACCCGAGCCCAACATCTTGCATGAAGTTAAGCCTGTGTGAGACCCAAACGAAACCCCTGTGAAAGCCCTATGCCCCAAAAAAGCTATACAACCTTATATAGCTTGTGAGGCCCTCATAATGAAAGCCCTATGCAAGCATAAGAAGCCCTAGAGCAATCAAGAATGTTTTCTCTCCATGAAGGAGTACTGGTCTCCATGCGCAAGGATGAAATGGCCCTAACAACACCCTAAAGACCTGAAACACTGCATGTTCGGCTGAATACTGGAACTCGAGGCATGTTACACATCACTTATACCCTGAACCCGAAACCCAAAACCACGATTTCCAAGCCCTAACCGCTACACCCCAAACCCCAAACCCCAAACCCCAAACCCCAAAACCCTAAACCCAAACCCTAAACACCTAAATCCTAAACCCCTCTTTTAAAGGAACACCTACAGCTTCAACCCCAACACCCCAAACCCTCCCAAAATAATATAGGATCCGTAATATGATTTAAGGCATCATCCTCAATAAAGGGATTTGGAAAGGTCTGGGACCAGCCCATCTCGGCATAGACCCGCACAGTCACGTCGCCTCCTGGTGGCAGCTTCGAGGATACATATATACATACCACTGTTAGGGTTTAGGGTTCAGGGTTTAGATTTGTATATCTATATCTATCTATCTATAAATATGTATGTGTATATATATATATACATATATATATATATATATGTGTATGTATATATATATATATATATATATACATCAGGGCTTAGAGTGTAGGGTGTGAGGGTTTAGGATTCAGAGTTGAGGGTTTAGGATTGAGAGTTCAAGGTCCAGAGTTTAGAGTTTAAGGGTTTGGGGGGTTGAAAAAATTGCTTGGGGTAAGTCTGCAAGAGTTCTAGAAACGGGCTCAAAGGTGCCAGGTCTCAGGTTCCCACCACACCGCCGAATAGGTTGACTGGCAAAGAGTCGAAGTGCCCAAACCGTCGGGTCCCTAAACCCTAAACCCTAAACCCCAAAGGGTTCACGTCCCAAAATTGTCTAAACACGGACTGCTTTGAGGCCAACCTGACATACGCATGTGAATCACATATATGCACGACAATTGAGGTTTTGGCTGCTTTAGCTATCGGAAACCCTTCATAAATCATAACCCCAAACCCTTACCTCCCCCCCCCTCCCCCCTCGCCCACCGAAAACGCCAAGCCCCTAACCCTAAATCATGAGCCTTAACCGCCCTTCAAGGGATATTTCACGGGCTTTGGGAAGTGTTGGGACCGTTCGGTTCGGCCTGGCCCGTCGCGCCCGGGAGCGCCACAGCTTCGGCATCCGGAGGCCTAGGCGAACATGTGCTTCTCGTTTTGTGAGTTTGGGGTTCAGGGTTTAGGATGGTTTAGGGTTTGGGATATCCCCTATTGAGTGAAAAAATGTTTATCCTTTTTTGTAAGTTGGGGGTTTTGGGATTTAGGGCTTCGCGTGTGGGTCGGCTTTCCTACATAGGCTGCAAAGGGGTCATAAGGGCTCACAATCAAGGATGTGCAGGCATTGTAGAGGCGTAGCATAACTTATGAATTTTCTTACGGGCATATTTTGATTTGTGAGGACTTCGGGAGATCGCAGCTAAGGGCAGGTTTTGCAGGCTTTAGGGTTTGGGGCTTCGGGTTTGGGGGTCGAAGGGTCTTGGATTTACGGGGGTTTACAGATCTGATAAGCTCTATAACCCCAAGGGTCCAAGTACCCAATAATCATATACTCGCAAAAATCCCAACCTACATAACTACTATCCTAAAACCGAGTATCTAATTATTGGGTCCTTTGGACACTTGGGGTAAGCTTTATGTGAGTTTGTATGATTTAGACAATGGTTTGTTGCGCAGAACCGTGCCATAGCAGGTCCAGGCAGCTTTCATCAGGTTTGAATTAAATCACTTGGCATAGGGGCGGATCAGCGCCCCTGGGCTCTATGTCTCTCTCTCTCTCTCTATATCTCTCTCTCTCTCTCTCTCTCTCTCTCTCTCTCTCTCTCTCTCTCTCTATAGCTTTACACAGTTCAACTCTTGTTAGATGCCGATTTAATTTCTTTTTGATGCCAATTTAACTTTTCTTTGATGCCTATTTATTTGTTTAAAGGCCTATCCCCAAAGGGACACCGTCTTCGAAGTCTCATCATCGCCGAGGGAGTAAAGATTGTGATCATCCTTGCGGTCGTCCGAAGCGGTGCGAGGAGACAGGGCATTCCCAGAGACTCCAAAACCCCTTAATTAAGATATATACCTTAAATTATAAGAGGATCCCTAATATGATTTCAGGTATATTCCTTAATTAAGGGGTTTTGGAGTCTCTAGGTTGTCCGAGCCCGCCTCTTCCTCGTTGAACGACTGCAGGACCTGGAAGTAGTCGCGCAGGTCGATGCCCATCGCGGCTGTCATTGACTATGGGGCTTTTAAGGCTTTTGAAAATACTCGTAAATAAGATCCTCTTAAGCCCAATAAGGAAATACAAAAAGCCCCAAAGCCCTACCTAGTTGAAGTATGGAATGAAAAAGGTCACGGGACGGCAGCCAAATGCAGTCAACTCAGTCCTCTTGAGCCGTTAGGGCTTTAATGAGGGTCTTAGTTGTAGGGTTCCCCTGAGGGTTGATTTGAAGGATCTACATCCAAGTCGGTGGTCCCAGCGGCAGGAGCATAATCAATGAGCTGCTCGCTCTCGAAGAGCATGGGACGGACTGGTTCGATCCAGAGCCTAAACCCTACTTAGAGGTTCATGGGACTTAGTAACTAGGGTCCTATTTAGGGTAACTATACTTTAAATTACTTATAACCCCAATTAGAGTACTTATAACCCTACTTACTAAGTCCCATGATCCTCGAAGTAGACCCTAAACCCTAACCCTATAGATCCCTTTAAGGGGCCCAATCACTAAGTCCCATGATCCTCCAAGTAACTTTATCTGCCGAGCTCAAAAGGCCCAGACAGTTTATACCTGCAGCTCTAAGAGGGGGTTAGAGGTGTTTAGGGTTTAGGGTTTAGGGTTTGGGTTTAGGGTTTGGGTTTAGGGTTTAGGGCTTAGGGTTTAGGGTTTAGGGTTTAGGGGTCCCCAAAACTGTAAATACACAGTATACTCATTCAGCTACGAAGCAACTCATCATCTCCTTAAGCCTAAGCTCCAGCTTGCTGTAGATCGCTTCGTTGGAATTATAGCTGAGCGTTTGTTTCAAGTTTCCTGGGGCTTAGTTGCAAGCTGCAACTATGTTACCAAGACCCTAAACCCTAAACCCTAAACCCCAAAACCAGATCCTGAGGACGAAGAGGCCGTGAAAACCTCAAACCTGAAGCCAGATCTCCCTCTCCGAAAATCCAAGGGTAAAAGGAGGGACCCTTAATAAGGACCCCTAGGTATATGCCCTTAAGATAGCTATTATATACCCATTATATAGCCCATTACAGGGTAGGGGTCCCCATTAAGGGTCCCTCCTTTTCCCCTTTGAGAACATTGAACTCCACACCGAGGTTGAACCGGAAACCTCAAAGCCGATACAGCAGCCCGACGAGAAAACCTAGGGGTTTAGGGTTTAGGGGTTTAGGGTTTAGGGTTTAGGGGTTTAGGGTTTAGGGTTTAGGGAACCCAAATTGGCACTCTAACACCCTAACACCCTATAAACCCCTAGATCCCAAACCCGGTAGGCCCTACACCTCAAACCTTGAAGCCCTAAACCCTGACCCTAAATCCCAATCTAATCCTCAAACCTTGAATTGAAACCTCAGCCCCAGAGCAAAGAAACAAACACTCCGACATGTAAGGCGCTGGCGGAGCCTTTGCACCGTTCTCAGTATCTGGTGAAGGCACCTTCGAGCTGGTTATGGGGTTCCATAAGGGTTGCGTAAGCCATGAATTTTGGGGGTTTAAGTAAGGCAAGCTGAAGGATGTAGGGCTTCGGGTGTACTTGGAGTGTCGGAGGACTTAGTACACAGGTGATAAGTAGTCTTAGACATACCCGAACGCGATCCTATGCCACAAAGTTGAACTACTTACCAAATCTCCCTGCCCTCCCAGCAGTGGACGGTATCGTGTGCAGGAAGTACTTTCAGAGGGCTCGGGGTTACCCAGGGCCCAAGCGACCGATAACGGGGAGTAGAGGGGCGGAGCAAAGTAAGCGATTGAATACTTCGATCAGGGTGGTAGATTAAAGACTATCTGAGGATAGTCTTAGCCATTTTCCGACCCCAACATATGTCATATGAACCTAGACGGGTAGATTAGAAGCTATCGCAGCATGGCAGCACCAAGTGTTCCGACCCCTCCTATATGTCATATGAACTGCACAGGATGGACTGGAAACCATCTGTGGGTGGTACTAACAATATTAGAGTTCTGCGTTCGACTAAGAGGTTGGTTGGCATGCCCTACCCTAAAGGTTAATGTGCCCAAAGTGTTTCTACTTTGGCCTCAAAGTACCTATGCAGGGACCCCTTTCCAAATTAGTGTGTGTGTATATATATATATATACTCACTCCTTGGGTACATGGACCCTCAGGGCTAAGAATGTTTTGTGGTAGAGAGTGGAGAGTCTCAAGCTGACGCCCTAGCGCAGCACAGCAGAGAAGGAGCTTGTTGAGTTTCGGGTTTAGCGATCAGGAGTTTCCTTGGAGGGTCGGGGGACTTAGTAAGTAGGGTTCTAAGTAGAGTTATAAGTACCCTAAAAGGGATCCTAATTGGGGTGATGGTACTTATAAGTCTCCAAAATATTACTAGGTCCCCCGACCCTCCAAGTAGGGGATTAGGGAGTTTAGGGTTTATATGGCCAAGGGAGTTTCGGGGTTTTAGGGTTTAGGGCCTCCGAAAGGAATCCTGCTTTTGGTGTATTGCAACCCTTCGTTACATTGCTTCAGGAACCGAAATCGAGGCCCGATCTTAAACCAGGATCGGTGTCTTAGCAAGTAGTCATTTCTAGAGTTAAAAGTACTGTAATCCCAACTAGAATCCCATTTAGAGCACTTGTAACTTTACTTTGTTGCCTACTTACCGCTAAGGAACCCATCAGCCCTATCTTATACACAGAAACCGCTCCAAGAACCAGACACTCCTAAGGCCCTCCGACCACGAAGGGTTGTACCATAGCAAGATCCCTGCCTGCATCACTAGACCCAAGAGTAACCTAGGAATAAAAAGGGTGCCCTTTTTGGTTTTATAAGGGCTCATAAGGGAACCTGAACCCTAAAAAAGGGAATAAGGGCCTACTCTAGGTCCTAGATCAGTTTGGAACCTTCGGGAACCGGTACGCTAAACCGAGCCAGGCCCGTTGTTGAGGAGGGATGTCGGGAACAACCCTAAACCCTATACCCCTAAACCCTACAACCCTAAACCCTAAACCCACAGCAAAAGCAAAGCCTCTTGTGGCTTGACTTCCTTCAGCTCCTGCAGTTCGTTTCGTCTGAGAACCCTTAGGCCTATTTTGGTTTAGGGTTTCGAAGCCTGGTACCAAGACCCCTCAAGTTCCCTTTCACAGAGCGGTCCTTGATCGTGGGTATTTAGGGTATAATGGAGGGTAGTTGGGGGGTTTAGATACATCCTAAACCCTGCGCAAAAAAGGCTTCTTCGCGTTTGTTCCTATACAAGCCTCCTCGGTAGGGTCCGGGAACTCCCAGAGAACCCTTGGGGCCAAAAGGTTTAGGGTTAAGGGCTTTGGGCGTTAAGGGTCTAAGATCTTCTGGATGTGGTAGCTAAAGCGATTCCCTGATTGAACCCTATAATCAAGTTATAGTAAAGGTATATACCGAGGGGTCCTTATTAAGGGTCCCTCCTTTTACCCTTGGATATAAAACCCAAGTCCCGGAACCCATAACCCAAAACCCGGTGACAGTAAACTCCTAAAGCCTCTTCTCCTTCATAAAGACCCTGAAACCCCAAACGCTGGGACTCTTACAAGCCTTTCTGACCCTAAACCCTGCATTCTAAAGCTTAAACCCTGAAACGCAAAAAAAACTCCATAAACTCGAGGGCAGTAAACTCCTAAATAAACTCCCAAACCCATACAAAAATCCCCAAACCCCCAAACGGCATATGTGTAGATGCGTACACAGACTAATGGATGAATAAGTAATTAAATACGAATTAAACAAAAATTGCACGGGAAGCAACTATTATATATATATATATATATATATATATATATATATATGTTTGTATATGTACACACGTACATACATACGTACATGTGCATACATATATATATATATATATATATATATATAGGGTACGGCCCCCATACAGTAACAGTCTACAATAGGGCTACTATTAAGGGCCTTATATATCTATACTATGAATACTATCCAACTGTTACTGAGTGGGGGCCGTACCCCATATATATACATAATGTTATATTATGTTATGTGTTGTTTTTGCACCATATAGACTCCTAAAGCCCATGGCTCCTTCAGCTTCATTTCCGCTTCAATCCTTCGAGCTCCCTGCACGTGGGGGGCTTCTCGGGGGCTCATTCAGGGTCCTTCTAGGTTTCGGGTTTAGCGGGTTTAGGGGTTCTAGGCTTACGAGTTTAGAGTTTAGGGTTTGGGAGGATTTAGGGTTCAGGGTAAATAGAAGGCTAAACTTTCCGATTCCTACTAAACTATAAGAACCCAAAAAGTTTAAAGGTTAGGTGTTGGGGAGCTAAGTATCCGGTCTGTTCTAAGTTAGCGATACCGACTGAGGCCCGGGAATGAATTGTTCAGGACTCCGCGCAATCCCTGCCTGGAGGGTCCGGGGACTTAGACTTCCGGCTGATGATATAACTCCTGCTTTCCCTTAAGGACCCTAAAGTATGGGAATTATGGTATATCCCTCATTGTGGGTCATGCAGGATTTATATCATCAACCGTAGTAAGTAGGCAAGAAGCAAAGTAAATGGGATCCGACATGGGTTCAAATACGTTCTGATACTTGAAACCCTACAGAAAGACGACTAATTCAGGTGCTGAAGTAGGGGAATAAATATTTAGTGGTTGCAATACGGTCTAGATTCCAGAGCATATGTCCCAAGACCCTACACCACTGCTCCTGAACGCCGATGCCCCCAAAGTAACAAACTACGGCAGAGCAACTACTAGGTACTGCAGCTGATACACACGCAGCCACAGCAACAGCGCACGACAAACAACACACAGTGACCAAAACACAGTGAATCACACAACCACGATAAACACAGAACAACGACAAGCTAGCTCCTGTCTAAAAAGTGCCAACGCATACTAATGTAGTGCATTGCTACGAGTGATGATGGTAATGATCAACGGTAATAACACGAACAGCAGTGATGGTGGCAACAAGCACAGTGTCTTCATTATTCCCACGCCCTAGACCTACTCTAACAAAGAAGCACTTCGACTTGCGATCGTCTGTCACAGGTAGCTCGACTGGCTTCTCAAATGCCCGTATGTCTACAACATTGAAAGAATACAAGCTGCCATGCAAGCAATCGGTGCCGAAAACAAACTGCCCGAAGATGTACTGCTTTCGCCGGCACTGGTTCAGCATGGCCAAAGCATTGTACACGACACCCGCCTCAACATACACCACCACCCAAACTTGGCAATTTTGAGAATCGGCTGCCCAAGGATCCGATCATACATGCAATGTAAAAAGCAGTCGTTCCAATCTGTCTTGCATCGCCTTCCGTTTTGAGTATTTCCCCATCTCTGCTCTTTACCATGAGTGGCGAGCCAGCAGCAGAACGCCATCCCCAGAGACTCCAAAACCCCTTGATTAAGGAATATACCTTAAATCATATTAGGATCCCTATTATAATTTAAGGTATATTCCTTAATTAAGGGGTTTTGGAGTCTCTGGGTCAGAGCTCTGAACACGAGCGTCTTGCAAGTACACATCTTGGGCAACTGGGCTCTGACTCTGCACCGCAAATGACAATGTCCTGGTCCTGTCCCCCAAGTCCTTACTACCCCGAGGCCCCGAAGTAGTTCCTTTTGGGGATTACCCTATAGGATTCTATATACGAACCCCAAAAAGGAACTACTTTGGGGCCTCTGGGTACCTTACTACCTTATTTTGCATCCTGCCAGTCCTCAAAGCCTCAAAGTGTATCAAATGCCTTGACCAGCTTACTTTGACTGAACTGCCAACAAACCCTGAGCCCCCTTACAGTAGAATCCCAAAAGTTGGAAACCGAATAGCCTCAGTTCTTCAGAGTATCCTATGGGGAATCCCAGCACTATTTGGCCTTAAGCCGGTTTCCAACTTTATGGTGCCTAAACCCTAAACCCTAAACCCTAAGCCCTAAACCCTAAACCCTAAACCCTAAACCCTAAACCCTTACTGTATACCCTTGAGGCCCCTAGCTCGAAACCCAAAAAACCCTCGAGGTCTCCTACTTGGAGGGTCGGGGGACTTAGTAAGTAGATAGTGGGTAGACTTATAAGTCCCCCAAAAGGGACCCTACTTGTGGTTATGGTACTTATAAGTCCCCCGACCCTTTAAGTAGGAGCCCTTCACTTGGAACCTCCCCAAAACCCTTATAAAGCCCTGTAATTACTCTAAACCCTACCCCTGAACCCCGTACACCATTGGTCCGAAACTGCTAAACCCTATCTATCCTAAACCCCTGAACAATGTATACCCAAAACCTTAAACCCTCTAAACGCTATATACATACCCTAGTGCACACTCCAAACCCTAAGCCCTATGCACTCTGAAAAAATCCGGGCCCTAAACCCTAAACCCGAGACCTATACTGAACTTCGACTCCCAGCAAAATCATAATTTCAGCTGTCTCTTAGGGATTCAAGGAAGTAGCAATGAACAACTATGTCTAAGTACCCCTCTAAACCCGAAACCCAAAGCTCTAAACCCTAAGCCCTAGACTCTAGGTGCCCTATACCCTAAACCCTATATACCCTAATCCCTAAACCCTAAACCCTATATACCCTACACCTTAAAAAGGAACCTTAAAAGGAACCTTTAAAGGAACCCTTAAAGCAACACCTAAACCCCATTAAAGGTGATACCCTATACCCTACTTGGAGGGTCGGGGGACTTAGTAAGTAGGTAATAAGTCTAGAGTTATAAGTACCCTAAAAGGGATCCTAATTGGGGTTATGGTACTTAGAAGTCTCTAAAATAACTAGTTACTAAGTCCCCCGACCCTCCAAGTAGACCCTAAACCCTAAACCCTATAGATCCCTGTAAGGAACCCTATAGATCCCTTTAAGGAGCCCTAGTTACTAAGTCCCCCCGACCCTCCAAGTGAACCCCAGAGGCGCCTGAAGGCCAGCCGCCTCGGCCTCCGCGAGGGCCCCTCGGAGCGCCCCCGGATCCGAGGAGGCCAAGGCTTCCTGGAGAGTCCGTTCTTTAGGGTTCAATGGGGTTTCGAAGTTTAGGGTTTAGGGTTTAATGGGTTTAGGGTTTAGGGTTCAATAGGGTTTAAGGGTTGAGGTTTTAATAGGGTTTAGGGTTTAATAGGGTTTAGGGTTCCATGGGGTTTATAGGGTCTAGGGTTTATATAGGGTTTGTGGTTTAGGGCCGGCGGGGTTTAGGGCTTATAGGGTTTAAGGTTTAGGGTGTAGGGTATATAGGGCCTAGGGTTTAGGGTTTAGAGCTTAGGGTTTAGGGTACATAGAGTCGAGGGTTTAGGGTTTAGAGCTTTGGTCTCATAGGGTTTAGAGGTTGCTTTTAACAAGCCCAAGAGGGTCCATACATACTACCATTATGGAATCAGGTCCCCCAAAAACCATAATAGGGATGGACGTTTGGGACACAATTCCATAAGGGTAGTGTATATGGACCCTCTGGGGACCATAACGATAATTTTCGAGTTTCTGTTCTGTTATAGGGTATATAACAAGGTCAACTTTTCCATAAACATACACATCCTGTCTTGGGTGTTGAGGGATGTGTTGGGCACACTTGTGAAGTTTCTTCTGTTTTGCTGGTCCACTCCATGCTTGGCCTCTTGTTTCGATGGCTCAGGGGAGGGGGAGGTTTGGGGCTAAGGACCGAGGTGTTGCTGCTTTTGTGCCGCATCCTGGAATGTAGAAGAGTCTTTTAAGATCTAAGCTGAAGATGCGTAGTACTCAGAAGAACCAATTGGGAGATTCCGAAAATAGGGGACCCTAATATAGGACCCTATCTAGTAGGATCCTTTTTCTGAGGATGCCAAAATAAGGTACCCCTAATTACTTTCCCCAAACCCTGAACCGATGATCGGGCAACTACAATCCCCAAGTCCCCCCTGTTGGACACGGCACTCCTTGCATGCATCAGCTCCCCGAGGTTTTCGTTTATGCGATTCCAAACCTCTAAACCTATCCTTTGGGTACTGCCCCGCCATAGCGTAACAGTTTGCAATAAGGCTACTATTAAGGTCCGAATATATCTGTATTATGAATATTAACCAACTGTTACTGAGTGGGGGCCGTACCCAACCTATCCTTCGCTGAACCCTGTCCTCCAATCCTTTGTCAGCGCTCTTCAGCTTCTCCAAGATCCTTCGTTGGGGATTCCCGGTCATAGTTTAGAGCTTGTGGAACCCCGGAACCTTGAACGGTAACATAAAAACTCCAAACCCTCCAAACCCGAAGCACGCGCTGCATCGATCATGTGCGGTTTAGGGCTTAGGGCTTAGGGGTTTAGGGGGCACGCACAAGAAACAAGCAACTTGCGAATCACCCAAAGGACTTCATTGATAGGGTAGGTATACCCTCACCCAAAAGCTTGTGTGAGGGTGTTCTGTTGGTTTTGTGAACAAGTATGTGCGGCCCGTCTAGTATAGCAGAACCCCGCAAACTTTAAAATACGCCAATGAAATAAACATCCTCCAGAGTCGAACATTTAAGGGAAAACTTCGAAATGGCTGCCGGACAGTTTGCGGCTATGTCGGAATATATATATATATATATATAGATAAATTCGGTGTATGTATATGTATATATATATATATATATATACCAACACTAACCGTAGCATAAGCATACTTGACCGCACAGGAATACGGCCTATGAAGCCACGAAGCTGTATCCAAAATCCTGAAGTGTGGGGAAATCAACCAAACCTGAGTCTGCCAGCCTACAGCCAAGGCCATGTGGGAGTTTCCGAAAACTAGGGGTACCTTATTTTGGGGTCCTTACAATAAGGATCCTACTATTTAGGGTACTATATTAGGGTCCCCTATTTTCGGAAACTCCCATGTCGAAAGTGTCCAGCTGAATCCTCAAACCTCCAAACCCTGAACCTTAAACCTTCAACCCCTGAACCCTAAACCACTTAAACCCCCATATACCCTTAAGGCCCTTAGCTCCAAACCCTAAACCCCCACTATACCCTTAAGACCTTTAGCTCTGAAAACTAAACCACTGAACCCTGGCCTGAGCCCCAAAATCCAAAAGACTACAAAATCTTTAGGGTTTAGGGTTTAGGGTTCAGGGTTTAGGGTTAGGTAGTTCATACATTTTTATTCCTTATTGGGTTCAAGTACCCATAAAAATAAAAAAATGCTACCCAACTATGACAGAGGTAGATCCCCTAATTTGGGGCCCTATACTACTAAGGGTACTTATAGGCACCCCCACTAAGGGATCTACTTTTTGGATCTACCCAACTGTGAGAAATCTTTAAGTCTGGCACTCGTGGGCAGAGCGGAGCTCGTCTGCAGTGAGCACGGCCTCGTGGGATGCAGTTCCCCCTACACTCAAAAGGGAAAAGGAGGGACCCTTAATGCGGGACCCCTACCCTCTAATGGGCTATATAATGGGTATATACTAGCTATAGTAAGGGCCTCATGGGATACAGTTTCCCCTACACCCGAAACCCCTAAAGCCCTGAACCCCTATTTAGGGTTTAGGGTTTAGGCCCTAAGCCCTACCCACCTAAACCCCTGAACCCTGACCCCGAAGCCCCTAGAACCCTAAACCTACTTACAGACTGCAAAGGTGCCCCCGCAGAGGCTCCGGTCCCCCCGAAGGGTCTGGTTTAGGGTTTCGTGTTTAGGGTCTACTTTGAGGCTGAGAGGGCTGAGAGTCTTTTTTTTGTTAAATGCAGTGGGCCTTTTCTCCTGCAGACCCTGCCTTTGACAGGCTTGCACCTCTTCACATTAACAGCATAGGAGATGTCAGAGGGCTTAGAGTCTAGGGATTATGGTTTACTCCTATAAGGGTTGCACAAATGCAGTGGTAAACAACCCAACCCTAAGCCCCTAAGCCCTGAGCTCCAAGCCTAAACCCTAAAATGCCTACACTCCGAAACCCTACACCCCTAACCACCAAAACCCTTGTTTAGCCTAGGTGCCGGACTTGGGGGTGGCATACTCACAGTTATCATTGGGGGATGACGACCCCGAAGTCAGGGCATCTTTAGAAGGGCCTTAAAATTCAAGGAACCCTTAAGCGAGCTCTTGAAGACACCCTAAAAGCCCTTGACAGGTAACCGTTGAAGATCGTCCCTGTAAGGCTTACGGAACATAGATGGGAGTTTCCGAAAATTCGGGTACCTTCTTCGGGAGTCCTTATGATAAGGGTCCTACCATTTGGGGTACTATCTTAGGGTCCCCTGTGTTCGGAAACTCCCAGATGGGTTGAGGATGGCTACTGTTGGGATGCACGCATCTGAGCCTGAGCCCCAAGCGCCTAAACCGTAGGCACTGTAGTAGTAGTCGTCGTCGTACTAGTAGTAGTAGTCGTAGTCGTAGTCGTAGTAGTAGTAGTAGTAGCAGTAGCAGTAGCAGTAGCAGTAGCAGTAGCAGTAGCAGTAGCAGTAGGAGTAGCAGTAGTAGTAGTAGTAGTAGTAGTAGTAGTAGTAGTAGTAGTAGTAGTACTGTCGTAGTCGAAGTAGAAGTAACAGTAGCAGTAGAAGCAGAAGACGTGGAAGTAGCAGCGGCAGTAGTAGTAGCAGTTGCTGTTGTTGTGGTGGTGGTGGTGGTAGTGAAGTATTCAGAACAGATTCGTAGATTCTAAACCCTAAACCCTAAACCCTAAACCCTAAACCTATGCCCTCTTTCCGCCTGCCTTGGTTTCCGCTTCGACGACCTTGGACTCCAAGCTTGCGATGGTGCCTGCAACGACAGAGAGCACCACAAGTGAAACGGCTTAATTAATGTAGGGGCCTAAATATTTAGAATAGGGCTTTGGGGCCCATTATACTATAGTTATAATACGGCACCCCCCAAACTAGTATAGGTAATTATTTCGGCCCCTGTTTTTAGGTTTACAGGGCTTGCCTGGGGTTTATAGGGTTCTTTATAAGGCTACTGTAAGGGTATTAGAGGTTTAGGCTTTAGATTTTTCGGAGCTGCGCCAGCCCAAACAACTTGAACTCAAGCCCAATGGCTGTGGAATGCGCCTGTAGAGTATCTCCCTGAACACACCGCACTCTTTTTTGACTTAGGAGATAACTGTTTAACCAGATGGCCTACTTGTCCAGCAACCTGGGAAACTACAGGTTAACCTTTGGGAGTAGACAGGGGATTTTAAGGGACTACAGCACCCCAAACAACATCAATGTTACTTACTCTACTACAGTGGACGTCCTGCATGAGAACCCACTGTCTAGGCAAAACAGGGGCGGGGCTGGGATGGCGGGGCAGGGGTGGGCAAAGGCAAAAACGAATCAATGTCAGACACCACCTCGTTCTTGCAACGGCAGGCAGGGGTGGGGGTGGGGGGGGCGGGGGGGGGGCAAGGGGTGCGCAAAGGCAAAAACGAATTAGTGTCAGACGCTGCTTCGTTTTTGTCGGGGCAGGGCAGGCAGGGGTGGGGGTGGGGTTAGGGGCAGCGGTGGGAAAAAACAAACACGAATTAGTGTCAGACACTCATTCAATACGAATAAACATCGCGGCCAGTCTGGCTCAAGGTACACGCTGCGACTACATAAGAATCATAAGAACGCTATTAAGAGCCTCAGCAAGTAAAACCAGATGTAATTGAACCTAAGAACCTTAGGGTAGGCTACTCTCGCGGAATGGGGTTCTTTTTCAGGGATTTCATTCTACTACCTAGGAATGTGCTGTGGGGTCTTTTCCACTACCACTACCCCTACCACTACTACTACTACTACTACTACTACGACTATGCTCATCTTCTGGGTCGAACCATTAAACCCCAAAAAAACACGAATTACATACAACGCCCCAAACCTTACAACCTAGTAGGTTATGACCCCTGAACTAAACAGTTTTGGGCACCTGAATCAGTGGGTTTTGGATCCCCAGATAAACAGCAACTTTTATCCCGAATCTCAACCCTAAGCCCTTAAACTTAAGCCTTCGAAGTTTTGAGCCACTAAACAATACTGAACTTAGAACCCTAGCAAAAATTGTAATTATAGCTGTTTCTTACGGATTATAATAACCAAAAATTAAACATTATTTCTAAGTACCCCTAAGAAGCCCTAAAGCCCAAGCCTGATTGGATAGCGGCATCCAGCTCCTCCCGGTCGGCCGCCGTCTGCTCGGCAAGCAGTTGTCGCGCTAAGGCAACCTGACAGCACGTCACGATGTGATGAAGAGTTCCTTAACCCCAACGGTCCAAGTACCCAATAATCATATACACACAAAAATCCTAACCTACATAACTACTATCCTAAAACCGAGTATCTAATTATTGGGTCCTTTGGACCCTTGGGGTAAGGGTTGCTATAAGGGCTCGATGGTTTAGGGTTTGCGTACCTCACAAGTATATACTTTGACCCTCGTTATCTACATAGGAACAGTGTGAGACCAACAGTACCTACTACAAGTACATAAGCACATGGATCCTTGCAACATGTGGAGGTTGGAGATAAACGGGTTTTGGGGTTCCGGGGTCCTACATCCTAAACTCATTGCAGCTTCGAGATGGAAGCTAGAGGAAGGTAGTTGAGATCATGGGGGTTGGGGCTTGAACTGTGGTGCCAGGACTGCAATTGCGGCTTTCGCACGGCCCAATATCCAATATGATATGTGACACTGCTTACACTAAACCCCCAGGCCAAGTAACAAAGGCTGTTCAAGCCCTGTGCTTTAACTGTAAAGGAGTCATGTTCGTTCTCAAAGGTTGACCTTTCGGTTCTGATAATACGAGAAAGGGGTATATAATCACAGCCGCTTTGAGGCTAGATACGGCCCTGAACCTCCATGCAAGCCGTTGGAGCCCGCAGCCTAGAAAAAGTGTAGCAACACTTATCCAAAAATTTACCTCCGCACCCCAGCACTCTAAATCCAAAACCCGAAACTCTAACAAACCCCAAAGCGGACAGCAAACAAAACTTGAAGTGTATATGTATATATATATATATATATATATATGGGTGTAGCTACTTATTACATATCTTGGGGAGGATCAACCTCGCCAAGCCCTAAACCCTAAACCCCAAACCCCAAACCCTACATCCTGAACCCTAAACCACAAATCCCTAAACCCTAAATACCTAAACCCTGAATCCTAAATCCCTAAACCCTAAATCCCTAAATACCTAAACCCGGAACCCCAATCCCCAAACCCTGAATACCTAAACCCTAAATCCCTAAACCCCAAACCCCAAGCCCTAAATCCCTAAACCGCTACTCCAAGAAGCCTTGGCTGCCTTCTGACCCCCTCCTAAACGTTAAAATCTTAGCCCCTTATTATGGTTCATATAGAAACCCAAAAAGTTAACGTCCTAAGAGCCAACCAGAAGAACGCCAAGAAGCCGTTGAACTTCTAAGTCCCACATGAGCGGCAGCATCCACGGCGGACTTCAGCTCTTGGGGCCCCTTGCCCTCCTGAGTCTAACTTCGGGCTTATAGGGTTTAGGGTTTAAGGAATTAGGTTTAGGGTTTAGGGATTTACGGTTTAAATATTTGGGACTGGGATTCAGGCCGGAAACCCAGGGTTTAGGGATTTAGAGTTGAAGGATTTAGGGTTTAGGGTTAAGTTCAGGGTTTAGGCTTTGAATCTTGAGCAAAAAAAGAGCATAGGCGTAATAATTAGAACAAGGGTTGGGGGGGGGGCCTAGGGAATGGTATTGCTAATTCTTCACGTTCCTGCTTGTCGGGTATCAGGGGGAACTAAAGGTTAACCTTTTTTGGGTATATAGGGGCTATATAGGGACTATACTACCCAAAAAGATTAAAGGTTACCTACTCTATTACTTGGAGTTTCTTGCTTGAAGCTCAAGCCCTACACCCCCAGACCCTAAGTGCAAAACTCCGGGAAACTCAAGCTTTAAGACTCTAGAGTGGCGTTTAAGTTGGGATCCCCAATGAGGTTGAGGGTTTAGGGGCGGGGCCGCAGTTGCGGCGTCAATATTCGGATCCCCGACAGGAATATCACTGATCTCGTCTGCCAATGAGAACTTGACTTGAGGACTTCCCCTACGATTGCTGGGTTTAGGGTTTGCGAAGTACATCTCCGAAATCAGAGGGCTTGAGGTCAAAGGTGCACAAACTCCAATGACGCTGTGATTCGGATTCCCCGAACCTGCAGACCCTGTAGACGACTAGCAAAGAATGCACAACTGGAGTCCACACAGGCAGCTTATACTTGTAAAATACCTCGATCACACATATACTACAGAATACCACCAAGCCCAGTGCCAATACCCGAAAAACTGCAGTTTTAATCCAGCACAAATAAACACTGCCAACTGAGTGCGCGAATGCTGAGGCCGCGACGCATGCCTGCGACGGCACTAAACTTGACGGGAGGTCGGCCACCCTTCTTGTTGTTGCCTACATGGGTAGTTGTCAAAATTATGGTCCCTTTTTGGGCACCCTAAATATTAGGTGCCGTATTATAAAAGGGACCCAAAAAGTGACCCTAATTTTGACAACCACCCACATAACAACAAACAATTTCTATGGATCTTCTCAGGTCTATTACCGGGTTTAGGGATCACAGACATGCAACACGCTGAAGTGAATCCAGATACAAGGGATTTTGTGAAAGGTTTGCGGAGGTTATGGCCGACCGTGAACCCCAAACCCTCGAGGCAAGGAAAATGCTTATTCTTTGAAGCACCACAACCGCAACTAGAATCTCTTTTGGGGGCACTTATAAGTCTTCTTACCGCTTACTTACTAAGTCCCCCGCCTCTCCAACTAAAGCCCAAGCCCCAAGACTAGGCCCAACGACCGAAAACGACTGAAACACTAAACCGTCTACAGTAAACCCCATAAAGTTGGAAACTGGGGTAAGGCCAAATAGTGCTGGGAATCCCTCTACATTACTCTTAAGGATTGAGAGGATGTTGGGTTTCTAACTTTTGGGCTTCTACTGTAGTCTCCATTGTGCGGCTAACAAATCGGCAGATCTGCGCACCTCCTTAGCAACCGTTAATATAATACGGCACCTAATATATAGGGTACCCAAAAAGGGACCATAATTTTGACAACCACCCACATAGTGTACTGGGTCTGTTCCCAGCCGAGGCTAAGGGATGCCCAATTCACTTCTTCAGCCAAGTCGGAAAGTACAAACCCTAAGGGTCCATGTACCCAAATAAATAGTGTATACTTTGGGCCCCATGTACCTATATAAGGAGTACTTTAAGGCCAATGTATATACTATATGAGTACATGAACCCTTAGGGAAATTTGGTTAAACCAAGAAACGGAACTAATTACAATGGATACAATGGGTAAACCCTAAGCCCCTAAACCCTAAATCCCTGAATCCGAAAAGGTGCGGTAGACATTGAACCCCGAAGAAGCCTAAACTCCCGAGGCACAAATACCTAACGTGGAAACCTGAAGCACCAGAGGGTATAAGGTTTGGATTCCAGAGCCCGGGACAAGGGGGATATTGTAGGTTAAGTGTGTAGGTATAAAGGGGCCATAGTGAGTTAGTCAGATCCCCATATTGCACCAAGCCCCTCCACAGGCCCCAACCCCTTCAACCCTCAGCAAGACGGATACCCAATCCCTAAACTCCAAACCCAAACCCCAAGGGTCCAAGTACCTGATAATCATATACTCTCCAAAATCCTAGCCTACATAACTACTATCCGAAAACCGAGTACCTGATTATTGGGTCCTTTGGACCCTTGGGGAAACCCTGAACCCTAACCCCTAATCCCTAAACCCCAAACCCAAACCCTAAACCACTTCTGGGCCTTCTTCAGTGCTTCCTCGGCCGTCTGCCAGCTCTCCAGCTGCTGCTGCGCCTCCTTCCTTGACTGCGAGCGTTGACGGAAAAGGCCCAGACCTTCCAAAATCCTTTAACTAAGGAAGATACCTTAAATTATACTAGGATCCATAATGTGCTTTAAGGTATATTCCTGAATTAAGGGATTTTGGAAGGTCTGGGGGGTTTAAGGTTCAAGGGCTGAGGGTTCGAGGGTTCAGGGCTGAGTTTCGTATTCAGGGATACTATGAGGGTTGAGAATTCGAAGGGTTCAGGGTTTAGCCTTCGGGGATACGAATTAAGTGGTCCCCTTTATTTCTTTATGTTATACTTTCGTCTTTCATTTCATCATGTAGTACAGATTTCATTTCATCATGTAGTATAGACTCTCTGAAATCTCTCAGCCAAGCCGCAAGCCTTTCTCCGAGATGCCCTCCATGTCGGCTCTGGCTTTGTCGATGGTCGCGCGAAGGTTCTCAATCTCCTCGGCGACAAGGCTTTAGGGGTTTAGGGCTTAGGGGATTTAAAGGCTTGCTAGTTGTAAGATATCGGGGCTTTCTGGGGTTCTATACAATGGGTCTAGGGGTATAGTGGCCTGAATACATAAGAAGAGGGAAACCTGAGGCATACTCTTGGCAACTATGCTGGCCCTTACACTATAGACTGCTCTAAAACCCTATACACAGGTGCTATAGTATACGGCTTGTACAGGGTTGTGGGCTTTTAGGGGTTTCAAGTTTGCTGGTTTGCAGCTTTAGGATTTAAGGCTTATGGTCGGCAACATTGCGCACGGGTCGCAGAGTGAATGATGAGTCTCCAATTCCGTTTAATGTAGGAACCTGATTAAGAAACGCCGGGTCTCTATTAGGGTCCCTCCTACGAACCCTACCATTACCATTTGGGTTGTAGGGCCAGGGTTTCTTGATCAGGTTCCTACATTAGTCTTGACCCCCCCCCCCCACACAGAATGTTGAAACCCCAAGATGAGCAGCACACATCCATGTCGGATATCTTTTTTAAATTGAAGCCATAAACACAAAAAGGACAAGACTCAACAACTGGCAGTGACAGTGATCCCCAACTTTGCAGGCTCTCAAGCAGAAGGGGAACCGGGCACCTTTGCAGGCGCCGGATCTCAAAGAAGAGTGTTTTGAGGTATATGTCATACCAAAGCTATCTCTCCGAAGCAACGGGGACAGCATTAGTCATCATGTGGCCGTCGGATCAGGGTTCAGAAGCATGCACGACCTTCAGGAGCGACACTTTCGCCTGCAGAAGCTGGGCCTTCTGTCTGATGGCCTCGTCGGCGCCGCCGACGAGGTTCAGTCGGCGACGAGCTTCCCCCAACAGCCTCTCGGCCCTCTCGATCCGCTAGGCGCGGAGAGCAGCCGCCATTTTCCGCATTAGTCATCACTCAGGCTTCCAAAAACCTCTGGATATTGTGATGATCCATGAATCCGTTGAAGGTTCGTGGGGGGGTGGGGGGGGGTGCTTGAAGTGGGGCTCAAACTCTAACTACCCCGAAGTACGGCCAGAGTTGCAGTTAAAGTTTCAGGGTTAGGGTTTAGGGTGTAGGGTTTCAGGCCCTAAACGCTACTGCAAACCCTAAACCGTGACGACAGTCTATCTTCTTCTTAACGATGTTGCCAAGATTGGTGATGAAGGCCTTGCAGAACCCTCTAGTACCTTATAGACCCTTTATGAGGCCCTTGTGGGACTTTTCAAGAAGAGCACTGCACTCTAAACCCTAGACACCCTCAATAACCCTAAACTCTAAAGAGACCAACCCGAAACCTGAAGCGCCCTGAACCCTACAAGCCCAATGACCCTTATTAGAACCATGAGGTTCTGAGTTTAGGGAGGGCTTAGGGTTTAGGGTTTAGGGTTTTAGGGTTTGGGTTTGGAGTTTAGGGATTAGGGTCTAGGGTTTAGGGTTTCCCAAGGGTCCAAAGGACCCAATAGTCAGGTACTCGGTTTTAAGATAGTAGTTATGTAGGTTAGGACTTTGGAGAGTATATGATTATCAGGTACTTGGACCCTTGGGGTTATAAGAACCATGAGGTTCTGGGATATATGGTCTGGAAGCCTGAAACTGGCGATACGGTTGATGATCTAAATCTGACAGTACCCACAACAGGGAATATCCATAGTTTAGGGTCCTGAAGGTATTCCGGGATTTATATCATCAACCGTATATACATGCCTATACTCTCCATTGCAGTTTGTCTTCTAGTTTAGCCACTCGTATGGTCAGGATCCTATAATATGAACTTTGGTTAACAAAGAGAGGGACCAATTACAATGGAGACTGTAGATACTACCCATTCTTATGACGTCTACAGAAAACAAACCGAAACTTGCGAAGCTCTGCCGCTTCGCTACTCCGACGCCCATGGCCGTGCTGAGCTCGAGTTGCGCATCCTGGCAGCCGTCCAAAGCAGTTTGGATTCAGGGTTTAGGGTTTCAGGGTTTTGGGTTTTAGGGTTTAGGGCTTCAGGGCTTGAGGCTTTCAGGTTTGAGGGCTTTAGGGTTTTAGGCTTAGCGGCTTAGAGTAGGCTTCCTTTAAGGGCTCTAGGGTTGGGCTTCGAGCTACATTTATCGATGAAGACCGAGGGTTCCGGGGCTTAGCTTAAGGTAAGATAACTTCGGGAAGAAACCCCAATACCAACTCTTAAGGGAATGCTTCGGCTGATGATAAAAATCCTGCATGAGCTTAAGGGCCGTAAACTATGGGACTTATGGTACATTGCTTATGATGGGTCATGCAGGATTTATATCATCAACCGTCTTGGTAGGGCTTACAGAGTTGAAAGAGCCCAAAGAAGGAAGCCCTCAACCGACCCGGCCTCGACCACAAGGTCTTGCCAGAGGCTGCGGCCCTTTGAGCACTTGTCGTTGTTCAGCTTGGCCTGGTCTATAGGCTGTAGGTTTAGGGTTTAGGAAGATTAGTGCTAGGATCCATTATCCTTTACCTTAAGGGCATGAGGATACTAATGTTCAAACTTTCTGGCTTCTAGTCTACCATAGGTGTCAAATCCAACAGCTCCAAGGTTTGTTCCTGATTAGGGCTCTACATTAAACACTGAGGGAAGTTAACAACTATTCGTAGTGTTAACAACTATTCCTAGTGTTCCAAGAATATTAGTTTCTAAAGCCCTACACTTCAAACCCTAAACCGCGACGGTTCATAAGACTCACAGTGGCTCTAATCCCTAAACCCTTAATCCCTGACATGCGTATCGAACTAAAGGGACCCTTCAACAAACCGTAGAGGACTCCAGAGGGATACTACGCGTCTATAACCCGCAAACCCCGACCTGAAGGACGAACTACTGTTGATGATATACATCCTGCATTACCTTAAGGACCCTAAACTATGGGAATTATGATATATGCGTTATTATTAATGGGTCATGCAGGATTTATATCATCAACCGCATGTACGCTTCATCACCACCTAATATCTCCTGCTTCATAGTTTAATGGCACCGGACCCCTACACTATACTGAAATTAGGTTCCTGGCGAAAATACGAATTTTAGTTGTTTCGGTGTCAAAGGAACCAAAAATTCCCCCAAAGTACAGGGTCGTTGTAGTAAACCCCGATCATGGAATGAAATGGACTTACCTTGAACAGGGGTGTAATAGAGATCCGGATATGAAGGCCGGGGATTTCATCAGCTTTCGTCCCTAAAGGGGTATGATAGGCGTCTTAGGAGCTTATGCGGGTTTAGGAAAGTAGGGTTTAGGGATTTAAGGATTAGATTAGGGGCTTGATCGACATGTATGGGGTTCTGCAATGTTATCAGAAGGCTCTTGCAGGGTCTCCTGGGTTCTGGGTGCTTCGGGTGCTGTGGAGGAGGCACAGGTGGGTGTTCTAATGTTAAGTTACCCAGAGGGTCCAGATACACTACTGTTATGGAATTAGGTCCCCAAAACCATAATGGGGATGGTCTTTAGGGCCTGATTCCATAATTCCATAATGGTAGTGTATATGGACCCTCTGGGATATGGTTGAAGTATATGGGTTTTGGGAGAATGCGCATAAGGGTTTAGTGGTCTAAAATCCGCAACACTAGACCCTAAAGAAGTATGATAATGCATTGTATTACCCAAGGTTGTAGCTCTGAGGTTTCATGCGTTTTGACCTGGCGAGAACTTGGCTTGTGTTGAAAGGAGGCTCAGCAGCCTTGATCTTCTGTGCCTGCAGTTCATGTGGGCATTGCTTTTGCTGGCTCCACCAACACGGGTTGCCAGGCTCTGTGCGTGCTCGACAGATTCAGAGCCTTGTGCTGCATGATCTTGACGTCGGTGGCGACGCTCCTTCTATGAGCCTCCAGCCGTCGCCTTTGGCTGTCGTCAAGATAGCACATGCAGCGTTGCGTCGCAACTTCATGAAACTGGGCGTCACCGTGAGCTTCCTTGCTGGTGGGCCATCACCCAGCAGCTTTTCTTCAAACCGCAAGGTGATCCCCAATGCTCTCGGTTTCTCGTTGAACTGCTGGTAACTTGCTAGACAGAGCACCTGAAGTCTCATAACAAAAGCACGGCTGCTCTAAGCCTGATAATTAGGATCCCTATTCTGTTCAATTTGGGGGAGTGGGTCTCTGCATTACCCACCGCCCAGGGACTCCAAAACCCCTTAATTTAGGAATATACCTTCAACGATTTCGGGGATCCTCTCATAATTTGAGGTATATTCCTTACTTAAAGGGTTTTGGAGCCTCTGGACGCCTTAAACCCTAAACCCCGGAACTCTGCATTTATGAAAACCCTCAACTCTGAAAGCTGAAAACCAAACAGAAGGGACTCTCACGGGGCCTGGGTTTAGGGGGCCTGGGTTTCTACAACCCCACTATTTTGCACTTTTTATACTACTTGATGGGTACTTGTTGTTCAGGGCTGCTTGGTATGCTTCGGAAAGCTAAACCCTTGAATCCTTCATCTACACTCCATTAAAGATCCCATAACAGAACGTAGGGAACCACTATAGGGGCCTTGCTAATTACAAGCACTTTGTTTTTTGCTTTTTGAGGAGAGTCCTTATTATAAATATAGTATAATGGGCCCAAAAAGCCTGTCATAATTATTAAGGCCCCTACATCCCTAAATCCCTCATAGAGCCCTTGTAGACCCCTTTTAGGAACCTTTAAGGAACCCACTTTAAGTCATTAAGGCCCCTACTTGGAGGGTCGGGGGACTTAGTAACTAGTTATTTTGGAGTCTTATAAGTACCATAACCCCAATTAGGATCCCTTTTAGGGTACTTATAAGTCTACTTATTACCTACTTACTAAGTCCCCCGACCCTCCAAGTATTATGAAAGGCTCTCCACTCAAGCCCTCGCATGCACCCTGGCCTTCTCGGCCAAATCTAAAGCTGCACGAACCATCCTTGTCTGCGGCGGTTTAGGGTTTTCAGGGTTTAGGGTGTCAGGTTTTGGGCTTAGGGCTGGGTTTAAGGTTTAGGGTTTAAGGTTTGGGGTTTGGGGTTCAAGGTTTATATTGGGTTTAGGGTTCACAGTTATGGGTGTTGTTCAGGTTTTGGGTTTTTGGATTTGGGGGGGTTCAGGGTCTACGACAAGAATTATGATAAGGGCTATTATGAAGTTACCCACCCAAAGTGGCTTGCGTGAGTGTAGGAGCCTTAGTAATCCGGGGCTCGAATATAGAACTGTAACAAGGATGCCCAATGAAGAGTACTACGAATTATGTTTCTGGTCTCCATTCAAGTGATTATAACAACGGTGCCAGTCGTAGCCTTCATGGTTCAGATCTGTGAAGGTGTGTTTTGCAAGTCTGCCTGCGAAATCAACCTACAGTCCCTGCCCTAAGACTCCATGTACCCATGTAGTAGGTACTTCGGCCTTAAAGGGGTCCCTATATGGGTACTTTAAGGCCTAAGTACCTACTGGGTACATGGAGCCTTTGGGTTATCCACGCCACCAAAACATTCAACACAACCCAAACCTATACTGAACTTGGAGCCCTAGCAAAACTTCTAATTTTAGCTGTTTCTTAGGGATTATAATAGCCAAAAATTAAAGAAATCTAAGTACGCCTAAGAAACCGTACGCCGTAACCCCAGTCCTCGGAACCTAAACACCAAAGCCTGAAATCTCCCTAAACACCCAACCCTGACCCCCACCCCTTCCAAAAACAAACCTAAAACGCACACCCTGGACCTTGAACCCTAAACCCTACACCCTAAACAATAACCCTAAACCCTAACCTTAAGCCCTTAAGCCCCACCCCATCCAAACAAAACCCACGACGAGATGCGGCTTTCGCCGGGACTGCAGAGCTTCGGAAAGCGCCGCATCGGCATCGCGCCAGGCCTGGCGAAAAGGAATTCACTCCCTGACTCCTGAACCCAAAGGCTCCATGTACCCATGTAGTAGGTACTCAGGCCTTAAAGGGGTCCCTGTATGGGTGCTTTAAGGCCTAAGTACCTATTATATGGGTACATGGAGCCTTTGGGGAAGTAAGGAATGGTGTAATTTGAAGTTTAGGATGCTTTTTTGTTTTAATTTAAGGTTTAGGGTTTGGGATTTAGGGAAGAGGGGGGGGGGGGCGCTGGCTTTGTGGGGCGCAGGGCGCAGGGTAGAGGGTTTAAGGGTACACCGGTATACCTTAAATCAAAGAAGGCACCCGCCCTATGATGTAAGGTATACAGTGTTCACGGCTCGGACGGTCTTCAGGGCATCGGTCTGGGCGACGGGTATCCAAAAGGCTTCAGCATCCTTCTGGGTTTAGGGCTTCATATAGAGTAGAGGCCTCAACACTTGGAATAGGGCTTATCTTACCGTTGGTTAGTATGGAATGGAAGAATGGTAGAAATAGCAGTTATAAGTGTACCCCATTCTTCCATTCCCTACTAACCAACGGTAAGTTATAGGGGCACATTATGCCGTAGTTAAAACAAGAAACCACCAAACGTTTAATTATTCTACTTCTGAAGGCCCCTATATTAGGGTGGTCCGACCTGAGCTATAGAGTTCAGTTAGAGTGTGGGAGATGGGACCCAGGATGACCAGTAACCTAGGGATGAAAAGGGCTCCCTTTTTGGTATTGGGTAACTTTGAAAGGAACCTAGGACAAAGAGGGAATAAGGGTACACCTGGGATCCTGGTTTAGGGTCGTATACCGCAAAGAGCTGGGGATTACTCGGCTGTTGGTCCCCGGCAGAAAACCCCTCCCCGGAGGGGATCCCATCGCATAGCCGCGAGAACCTAAAGCCTTAAGCCTCTGACAACCAAAAACCTTAGAGAACCCTTGCAGTCGCCCTTCTCGCACCTTTGTAGGAAAGTCTTCGACGAACACTGAAGCCTACCTGTGCCCAAAAGACATACCTTGTTCAGGAACTAGATATAGAAATCATGGAAAAAGGAACCCTAAAAAGGTAAGTCTTTCCGGCGACAGGTAAACTCTTGTAGGAACTCTTTGAAAGAAACTCTCTCCCACCTGAAGAAGCTGGCGGAACTCGTTCAGTTCCTGCTCGAGTCGGATTGGGGCTTAGAGATAAGCTTAGAGTTTGGGGCTTAGCCTTACCCAAAGGGTCCTAGGCACGCTTGCCTCAAACCATGCCTTCTTCACAACATGATAGGAACCCTAAAAACACCGGATTCTCAGCTACACGCAGGAATTAGGTCTTTACTTTAGGGTTCTGGGTTTTGGTTTAGGAATTCGGGGTTTCGGGCTTTTGGGTGTAGAGAGATAAGACTTTCTTAGTAATAAAAATCCGCTGCTTAGGGCCTGACTTGGAGGGTCGGAGTAGAGTCGTAAGTGCCCTAATTACAAGAGATCCTAAGGGGTGTTATTGTACTTAAAAGTCGATGAAACTACTACGAACTACGTCCCCGACCCTCCAAGTGGGAAACCAAACTTCCCAAACCCGACACCAAGCAGCCGCGCACCCATGAGTTGTACTTGTTGCCCCCCGTGGGCTCCAGCCATAGACCCCTAAACCCTGAACCCTAAACTCCCAAATCCTACACTCCCTAGCTCTCCACCATTCATCTTTGTCACCTTAAGCCCCAAGCCCCAAGCTTAGCTGGAAAGCCCCAAATCCGAAAGCACTAAATCCTGAACCCTATGACCAACAAGCTCAGTGGCCTCGTCTGTCATGCTGGTGTCGACCTCTGCTACTTGAATCGCCTGTGGCAGAAGCTCTGGGATGTACATGTTTCAATTGGGAAAAGGAGGGACCCTTAATAAGGACCCCTACCCTGTAATGGGCTATAAAATGGGTATATAAGGTATATAACAGCTATATTAAGGGTATATACCGAGGGGTCCTGATTAAGGGTCCCTCCTTTTACCCTTGGAATGTTGGTACTGAGTCGACTTCAGGGAGCAGCTCTCGGGCAGGGAGATGTCTCTTTGAACTCCCCAAGCTTTCATCGTGGCATTGCAGGGTTCGGAGGATGCTTACTATATTCCTGTACTTGGCTGCCTTCTGACCCCCTCCTAAAAGTTAAACTTTCAGCCCCCTTATTATGGTTCATATAGAAACCCAAAAAGTTAAAGTCCTAAGAGCCAACCAGAAGAACGCCAAGTGTATATAATTCACGTCAGTTCCCGGGAAACCGTGCCGACAGCCCTAACCCTAAACTCTGAACCCTGAACCCCTAAACCCTAGAAACCCTAAACCCTAAACCCTGAACCCTAAACAACCCTAGAAACCCTAAACCCTAAACCCTAAACATCAGCTTCCGGGATATTGCGCCGACAGCCAGCAAAGGCGCCTTTTCGAGCTTGTCGATGTGTCCGGAGCATGACCTGAGCGACTTCAGTGCCGGAAAAGGCTTAGGGTTTAGGGGTTTAGGGGTTTAGGGTTTCAGGGCTCAGGGTTTTAGGGTTTAGGGGTTTAGTTTTTTTTTGAACTCCTTTTTCCAGGGGGCGACTGTTTTCAGCGTCCTAGGGTTTAGGGGTTTAGGGTTTAGGGCACAATGAGGGATTGCAGGTTTCCAGTTCAGGGTTTGGGGCGTCCCGCTAGTTTCGGTCGCTCGGGTCGACACTGGGCCGATGGGAATCGAGGACCCCATGATTTGAGACGGTACAGGAACTCGAGCATAAACACGAGAAGTATGGAACCATAAGCTTCAGAAACCGACGGAGTGTGCCCAAACCCTTGAACCCAAAGCTATGTACCCGGAGACTCCAATAACCCGTAATTAAGGAATATACCTCTTTTTTGGAATTCATAGGAAAGGTCCTACTATAACCTAGGGATTTCGGAGTCTTTGAGTATTTCTGTGGGGTATCCATGAAACCCAAGCCCTAGTTGCTGGAACCGCTGTCTGGCTGTTCAGCATAAGGAATATACACTACATCCAAAGCTCCTCGCTATACTCTTCTATCTATTGCACCCTGGACCCTGAGGCCTGTAGTACGAAATGGGCTACGAAATAAACCCTCTGACCTCTTTCTAGCACACCCTAACACCCCCCAAACCCTGGAATCAGACCCCATAGTAGTTCCTCTTTGGGATTACCTCATAGAATTCTAAATATGAACCCCAAGAAGGAAACTACCATGAGGCCTTAGGGTATTGCTTGCGGGCTCGACGCAAACTTCGAAAGGTGCCTAGCAGCAGAGCCCCCCGCAGGACCGATGAAACCCATGCAGAAACCACGGTGCATGATATAAATCCTGCATTACCCATAATAGGGAATATAACGTAATTCCCATATAGTTTAGGGTCCTTAGGGTAATGCAGAATTTTAGCATCATCAGTAGGATGCCCAGAAACCTAGGAATAAAAAGGGCTCCCTTTTTGGTATTGGGTAACTTCATAAGGAACCTAGGACTACAAAAAGGGAATAAGGGTACTACTGGGCATCCTAGGAAAGGGGCAAGAGATCGGTAACCCTTGCTGGAAAGTCTTGATGGTGCTCGCTTGGTTCCCAGCGCTTGTTGCAGAAGTGCTGCGTAGGACGGTTTACACCATAGCAAACGCAGGAAAGTGCATCGTGAAGCGAAGACCAAACTCTAAAACTCCTACAGCTCGCTAGACCCTGTGACCCTGAACCCCAAATCCGTAAACCGCGAACAAACATGTTCAAACCTGAAGTCCGAAGACCTGGAATGTTCTAAACTCGAACTACTTACTTTAAGCCTACAGCCTGCGACAGCCAGCGCCAAGGTTGACTGTTTTATAGGGCTTAGCGTTCAAGGTCTGGGGTCTAGGGAACGTCCGACACAACGCCGGAGAGAAAATAAAAGTCTCCAGAACATGAGGTATCCTATATACCCCAAACAAGGGACCCTTCGCTCACGGGGACACTGAATTTCCAGAAGCCACCGTTGAAAAGCATTCATGTGGCACCTTTTTACAAGGTACCTCCGACCCCCCAATAATGAAAGGCCGACAAAGGCACTATAATTGTTGTTGCTTGCAAGGTACAGTAGTAGTCTATGATAGGGCTACTATTAAGGTCCTATAGATATATGATGAATAGTATCCAACTGTTCCTAAGAGGGGGCAGTACCCAAGTTATTACTGTTATTGCTATTCTCGACTACCCAGATCCCCGGGAGGATCCAAAAAGTAGATCCCTCAATGGGGGGGGTCCTATAAAGTACCCTTAGTAGTTTAGGGCCCCAAGTCAGGGGATCTACTTTCTAGATCCTCCCGGGGGGTCTGCGATTATGACTGTAGTATGCCCCCAAACCCTATTCCAACAATTAAGGCCCTGCATTATGGGTTGGGCCGCCGGGATCTTTCAATCTGGGTATTATCGAGGTCTTTTGGACCCTAGGGTTATTGGCACCCAAACCCTAAAACACCTTAAACACTAAACCCTGAACCCTAGTTACTGGCACCCCAACCCCTAAAACCCTAAAAACGCACCCAAGCGACGCAGTCTGGATCTGATCCCTCGCAGCTTGGAGCCTGGTGGTTTGTCTCTGGGTATAAGTATTACCCCAAGGGTCCAAGTACCCAATAATCATATACTCACCGAAATCCTAACCTACATAACTACTATCCTAAAACCGAGTACCTGATTATTGGGTCCTTTGGACCCTTGGGGTTACAGTAGAAGCCAGAAAGTTGGAACATCGTTAGCCTCATGCCCTTAGAGTCAAGTATATGGAATCCCAGCATGAACCATCCTAAATCTATGTTCCAACTTTCTGGGGTTCACCATAGCAGTAGTAGGATGAATAAGTAGGCATAGTATAGTGTTAGCGGTTGTAGAATGAATAAGTGGGCGTAGTATAGCATTAGCATAAGTAGAATGAATCAGTAGGGGCGTTAGTAGGCGTAGTAGTCGTGGTGGTAGTAGTAGTAGTAGCAGCAGTAGTAGAATCGCCTTGGTGGTCGTCGTGGTGGGAGTGGGATTGAAGCCTCGGGCTTGAGATAAGCGGAAGCCTACGAACTATGGCAGTTAAGCATCTTAGGGCTTAGGCTTTAGGGCTTAGGTCTCGTCTTATTTAGGTCTAGAACCCAGAAGGTAACCCCGAGCGGGTTGCGGGTTCAGGATTTCGTGCAGGGTAAAGGGCTCACGGCTTATAACGCTCAGGGGAAGCGATGCATGACGAGCTGTTTCTACGTGTGGGCGCACAAGTGCCTGAAGGATCGGGGGACTTGTAAGCACCCTAAATCGGATTCTAAGTGGGGCTACGATACTTATAAGTCAGCGAGAACTTGCCCGACCCTCCAAGTACCAACTTCGAGCAATTTAGCCGAAGGCCTAAGCGGCAGCATCAAGGACGACTACACTAGGGTCTAGTGAAATTCTAGTTACCTGTCTATCTCTCAATCACTATCCTTCTATCTATCTATCTATCCGTCCATCTGTCTGTCTGTGTGTCTATCTATTATCTATCAGTCCATCGGTCTCGCCGCCCGCCCTCTTCTAGACCCTGAACCCCAAACCCCCCAACCGCCCTGTCCTCTTGGCTTAGTAACTAGTTAGAGACTTATGACTACCATAACCCCAATCAGTACCGAAAACTAAGTCCCCACACTCTCCAAAAAAACCCTAAACCCTGAATCCCAACACCCCCCCAACCGCCCCGTCCTCTTGGCTTGTTCCTTCTCCTTCTGCTTTGTCTCGGCCAGGTGCGCCTGCGACCGAGTGCCGATCATCACTTCAGGGCACTATGGTGAATCCCATAAAGTTAGGACATGGATGTAGGATGATAGGTGCTGAGATGCCCTATACCTTATCGCAAATGACAGGAGGAGAATGATGTTCCAACTTTTTGGCTTCTACTATACGGTTCCAGGGTGCACGGAAGTCTTGGCTCCGGAGGGGCTCCAAGGCCACCAGAGGCTCAGGGTCGCCGCTGAATTGCTTGTTGAGGAAGAATACTGAAGGCTTATAGGTCTACCCAGACCCCTGGGAGGATCCAAAAAGTAGATCCCTTAATTGGGGTTCCTATAAAGTACCCTTAGTGGTATAGGGCCCCAAATTAAGGGATCTACTTTCTAGATCCTCCCGGGGGTCTGGGTACAGGGTAGCTTACACCCTCAACCCCGAACCCCAAACCCCACGCCCTGAAAGCTGTGAGTACCCTAACCTATAGCTCCGCTGTAATTAAGCCTAAACAAAACACAAAAAGCGATTTTCCCAATGTTCGAGGAAAGAAGCCTAAACCCCAACCGACTGAAGCACACCCTATGCCCTGATCCTCATGGTCCAGGTGCTTCACGACTAGGTAGCCGCCATCTTTTGAACCAGTACTCATGGTACTTGACGACAAGGTATGTGGGACCCGAAGCCCATAGTTCAGAGCCTTCGATGTTTGCAGTGTGGAGTGTCGAAACCCTTCGAAACCTTCTACAAAATGAACCGTGACCCTACATACTCCGTTCCAGCCCAAGCTAAAGCTGAACCCTAAGCTCTAATCCCTACAATTAAGAACGCTGCGCGAACCTTGAAAAGCTTGATGTCGAGTTCGATCATCAGCCGCCCCTCTGGGTCCTCAAGTTGGCGAAAATTAGGGGTGCCTTACCCAGAGACTCCAAAACCCCTTAATTAAGGAATATACCTTAAATTATAGTAGGGATCCTATTATGATTTAAGGTATATTCCTTAATTAAGGGGTTTTGCCGTCTCTGGGTATTTGGGGCCCTTACAAATAGGGATCCTACTATATAGGGTACTACATTAGGCTCCCCTATTTTTGGAGGCTTCAAGGACTGTAGGACTGTATCGTTCGTCAATGGTTCGAAGAAAGTTCTATGAGGGTCGCATAATTATCACCCTACGGGTCCATGTACTCCTATAGTATATAGTTTGGTCTTACAGTAGTCCCTACATGGGTAGGTACTTTTGGGCCAATGCTTTGGCTTTACAGGTCCTATCATGATCTTTACCCAACTCCCCCCTGAAGGACAGCGATCGGAAAGGTCCTGCTCGTGGTCGAACTCCTTGGATTGAGTTCATGGTCCGGGCTTCCGGACTTCAGGGTGTGGGCTTCCGAAATTTGTGAGATTGAGGGTGCGAGGATGATGGTTGCCATCACTGAGGACTGCGGTGCTGCGGGTGCTGTGCCGGTCTGACGACTCCAGATTCCAACGACAATCCCTTGGTATAGCAGACTATGGCATACTACAACATACTCCAACACATGTAATCGCCTCGGCCCCGGTCGAAACGCTCAAAGTTCTCACCAAAAGCCACAGTTTCGCTTTACTGCTCCTGATAATGCTTAATTAAAGGCTTCTGGAGTCTCTGGGTGGTGCAGAAGTTTCGTGTACTGATTCGGTTGTGTGAGGCCGTGTGGCCCAGAATTCTTCGGTTGATGATATAGATCCTGCATTACCTTCAGGACCCTAAACTATGGGAAGTATGGTATATTCCTTAGTATGGGTCATGCAGGATTTATATCATCAACAGTTCCTCCCTCCCCCCCTCCAATCCGTAGGCCTTCGTCAGTTGCGGCCAGGCCGAGGCGGGCGACGTTATAAGCATAACATACTACAGCATACTCTAAAAAATGTGACACTAGTAATTACGACATGGTACGACAGCATACTATCAACAGTACTACGTAGAATACAAAGACATACTGTATAATACAAGAACTGTAGTATTCTATAAAACATGCTAATTGCGCTCTATCGGCCTCTAAACCACACCGCCAAAAAGCACACCCCTCATGGTATAAGGACTCCAAAACTATGACTTAGACACACGCGTCCATAGACCGCAAGGGTAAAAGCCGCAAACATCAAACACAACATCCTCACCTCCATTCTTTGAGGCATAAACTTTTAAGCAAACATCCCACCCTAAACCCTATAAGCCCTATAAACCCTCCAAACCCTAAACCACATAACCCACCCTAAACCCTATAAACCCTATAAACCTTATAAAGCCTATAAACCTTATAAACCCTATAAGCCCTATAAACCCTATAAACCCTAACACCCCACACTTTGGCTGGTCTCCGTCGGCTTATTCTTCCGGCGGTTCCACTCCAGAGCAGCTTCATCTTCGGTGAGGCCGCACTCCTCACTTCATAGGGATCGTTAGGGGTGTAGGGGGGAGGGGTGTAGGGGACTATATTTCCTTAAATAGGCCTTATTAGTCCTTATTATGGCCCCTACGGATCCCTATGATCACTCATATACCCGGGGTGCTAATGCAGGGGCCTTCATAATTAGAATAGGATTTTTGGGTATCCTTTTGTAAATTATTCTGATCTTAAGGTCCCTGTCTTAGGAGTTTAGGCTTTAAGGTTTTGGGGTTTAGAGTTTAGAGCCGGGAGTCTCGGGGGTAGTTATACTGCACCAGCCCAATGTTGCGTAATCTACACTCGAGTTGAAAGACCTTCCGGGATGATGCAAAAAGTAGATCCTTGAATGGGGGTTCCTATAGAGTACCCTTAGTAGTATAGGGCCCCACATTAGGGGATCTACTTTCTGGATCTTTTCGGGGGTCTGGGTTCCAAGTGTCCAAAGACTTCGAAATCCCTCGACTAAGCAACAGACCTTAGCTTGAGAAACGACTGCCCGTATGACCCTAAACCCCAAACCCCTCAACTCCTGAACCCTACACTTTAAACCCTGAACTACAAAACACCTCCTAAACCCTTAACCCCTAACGCCCTAAACCCTAAGCCATCAAGCCTGCTGAAACCAAAGGTATGTGCCCCCCTGAACCCCCTGGGTTTAGGGATTAGGCCTTGGCTTTAGGGACTTTTCAGTCAGTCGTCCCTAGATAGGCACTGCAAGGGCAACATATCATGTTTCGCGGGTGCATGGAGGGCCTGTCGCTTTGCGTAGTGCGCTAATCCCACCCAAAACAATCAGCCAAAACCCGTAGACCGTAAACCCAAAACCTAAACCCTTAGGGTGAACTTGAGGAATGCAGAAGTCCTTCATCAAGGCTTCCGTGAAGTCCTGCAATGTGGCTTGCAGCGTTTCCAATAGGGTCTATAAATTTAAAAAAACAGCCTTTAGGGGTTATAGGCTTCAGGGTTAGGGTTGAGGGTAGAGGGTCTAGGGCTAAGGGTTGAGAATTGGGCTGCACACTCAACACCCTCACTAATCGCGATGCAGAGGCAGCTGAACTTCAATCTCTGTGGCTTTGGGTTCAAGCTCGAGGGTCAATGCTGAGGTTTCGCAGCATTTGCATGCGCAGGACAGCCCATCGAAGCATCCGGCCAGGCGGAACGGATCCGCGAGTTTCAGCGCCAGCGCCAGGGCGGAGAGCCAAAGGCCAGGCCAAGGACGTCAAGTCTTTGTGTTCGCGTTGCGCCTTGTCCTTCAAGGGGTTTCTCGGAAGTCGCAGCTGCCGCATCTCCTGTAAAATAGTACTCCTGGTAGTGGTCAGAGGAAGAACATTGAGCTGAGGGCCAAGGCGTTTGGCAGTAGGTATTCAAAATGTGGATATAGAGCACAATGCCCCTTAACCAAACAATGTTCTTAAATCACAATAGAAACAGACGGCAGCTCAACTTTAATATGATTCCCTTCAGTCAGGATTGCTGTGCCCTGCGAATTTTATGAGGGCTTCTGCCTCCCGCCACGCTCATTCTTGGCCCCATACTTGGAGGGTCGGGGGACTTAGTAAGCAGGTAATAAGTAGAGTAAAAGGTACCTTACAAGGGATCCTGATTGGGATTGTGGTACTTGTAAGTCTCTACAATAACCAGTTACGAAGTTCCCCGACCCTCCAAGTACCAACCACCTAGGCCCGAACAACAGGAACAACGGAATTCCACTGGTCGCAATCACAACTATAGGGGCCTTAATAATTGACTAATTAGGGTTTTGGGGCTCATTATACGTTTATCTGAGTATCATAAGTAAGCCCCAAATAGTATGTGAGTTTTGAGGCCCCTATACTGGGCTGTTCTTGAAGCCCACAGTTTAAAAAAAGTGGAGAAGCGTTGTGGAGGGGCGGATCTGGGTTGGACAGCACATTGAAACACAACGTTTCGGAAAATTTGGGGTTAAAGTAGGGTTTCGGGGTTTAGAGTATAGAGGTCAAAATTAGGGTCTAGGATGATGGAGCTTAGGGTTCAGGGTTTAGAGTGTAGGGTTTTAGGCTTCGGAAACCATTCAAGAATGCCCGTCAAAAGTACGTGATACCCCGCGCATACCTCATGCAGGACCTAAGATACCTGTAACCGCAAATTTTAACCCAAGACCCTAGGCCATGAACCCGAAACCCTTAAACCTCAACCCTATTCCCAGAGCCTCCAAAACCCCTTAATGAAAGAATATACCTTAAATTCATATTAGGGATCCTATTATTCCTTAATTAAAGGGTTTTGGAGTCTCTGGGTTACACCCGAACTCGCGAACTCCAGAGCCCTGAGCCCTAAGTGCACCTCGAAGTTCTGGAGGTGGTTGATCTGATCAATGCCAAGGCCTGCCAGCACGCCCCTAAGTACCTTTTCACAGAGGCCGTCTCCTGAATAGTTGGTACTTAGGCTCTACTAATATACGAAGTATGGTTTTGCTGTTTGAGTGTAGGGCTTTGTTTGAGTCACCAATGCAACTCGTACCCTCATGGTCCACGTACCTAGATTGTATCTGTGTTTATGTATGTCTGTGTGTGTATCAGTAGCTCTATATGAATTGTTTATGTATGCCTTTTACAGGAGCTCTGCTTAAGGCCAAAGCATACACGGCGTAGGCCAACGACCGTAGGGACAGGTGACAATGTCTAGCACGGGTACTCGCACTAGCAACCAGTACTAGTGCAAGTATTCGTGCTAGAACCAGCGCTAACACCAGCACTAGTATCAAAGGGGAAAAGGAGGGACACTTAATGGGGACCCCTACCCTATAATGGGCTATATAATGGGTATATAATGGCTATATTATGGGTATATACCTAGGGGTCCTTATTAGGGGTCCCTCCTTTTACCCTTTGATAGTAGCAAGAGTAGTGGCGGCGGTCGTAGAAGCAGTAGCAGCAGCAGAGGAGCGCTGGATCGATGAACGAAACATCCAAAGCCGGAAGCATGCTGGTCCCTTCGCACCCAGAGCTTCCAAAACCCCTTAATTAAGGAATATACCTTAAATTATAATAGTATCTCTAATATGATTTTAAGGTATATTCCTTGATTAAGGGGTTTTGGAGGCCTGGGCAAAGGGTCATGAAGCTTAGGAAATCAGGTTGAGAAAACCAGATACCTAGAGAAACTTATGATAACAAAACTATCAGAGAGATTACCCAGTACATCCCATTGTCCTCCAGGTGAACTCTGCACCCTAAGCCGCCTACCATAAACCTTAAACCCTTAAAGCCCTGAGCCTTCTGGTAAAGTTGCGAAGTGAAGCCCCAACCCTACTTCAAGGATCATGGGACTTAGTAACTAGGGTTATATTTAGGGTAACTATACTTATAATTACTTATAACCCCAATTAGGGTACTTATAACCCTACTTGCTAAGTCCCATGATCCTCCAAGTAACCCCCCAAACTCTAAAGCCGAAACCCCAATAAAAAACTCCAAAACCTAGACCCCAACGCCCTAAACCCCTAAACTCTTAACCCCCTCAACCCCAACCCCCCAAACCCCTTGAACCCTAAACCCCAAAACCTCTAGAACCCTAAATCCTGAACCCCTCGAACCCTAAACCCGAAACCCCTACACTCTAGACTTCTTAAGCCCTCATGTCTCTGAGCCTTGCTTGTCGGCCATCTTGGCTTCATCGATCCGTTTCCTGTCCGCACTTTCGGGCTCAGGGCCTAAAAGGCTTGTTTTTTTTTTTTTAAGTTGAGTTGGCTTTTACGTCTGCCTGAAGCCGGCTCTCAACTACATCCAGCATGGCCTCGCTATTTAGGGTTTAGGGCCTAGGGGGTTAAGGATGTAGGGCTTTGGGGCTTGGGGTTTAGGGGTTTAAGGTTTTTGTAAGGGTTTAGGTTTTAGAGTTTAGCTAGCAAATAGCCCAGGAACATCAAATCCAAAAGTCCAATTAGCTCAGGGGACTCGTAGAGTATGGCCTGTAATTCCAAGCAACCAGAAAGCACACATCCTAAACCCTACCTGTCCAGTATCCTGGGGCCATAAAGGTTATAACCTTTGGGAGTATATCGGGATTGTACAGGGGTTACAGGCTATCTACTCCATACTACTAATTATATGGGTGGTTGTAAAAAATTATGGTCCCTTTTGGGTACCCTAAATATTAGGTGCCGTACTATATTAGGGACCCAAAAAGGGACTATCATTTTGACAACCACCCATATAACTACAGGTTCAGCCAGGGCACTGCACGGCGATCTCCTCTTGGCGCCTGACCGGGAACCCTAGGAACAGCCCCTTGGGCAAAATGGCTTGGTGCTGCGTTTTGCGGGGTTTGGGGTTATACGGGCTTAGGGTAGGCAAAACCCCACACCCACAAGTCTAAACCCTAAACCTACAAACCCTAGTAGAAGTTGCCATAAAGTTGGAACGTCATTAGCCTCATGCCCTTCAAGTGGAGTTAAGGGAATCCCAGCATGAATCATCCTAAATCCCATGTGCCAACTTCCTGGGGTTCACTAGGGTTTAGGGTTTAGGGGTTTAGGGTTTAGGGGTTTAGGGTTTTAGGGTTTTAGGGTTTAGGGTTTAGGGCACTATACACCCAGAAGGGGGCTTAAGATTGGAATTTAAGTGCCAGTTCTTGGATTTGGAGTGTAGGGCTGTGGGATTATACCCTGAACCTCAAACCCTACCTGTTCAAGGACTCATATAGGGAAATCAATGAAATCCGACTAAGGAAACCTGACAAGGTTTGTTTTACTAGGATACCCAGTAACCTATGGCACTGGGTAACTTTATAAGGAACCTGGGACTACAAAAAGGGAATAAGGGTACTACTGGGCATCCTAGTTTTTGGATTAAGGTAGGTAGCGTCTCTACAGCTTCGCACCGTTGGTTCTGCAAGGCATTGCCCACAGAAGTAAGGGGAAATCCTCGCAAAAAGCCGCATTTAGGCAGACTGATTTTGGGATGTGTTCACATCGCCTGGGACGCCCGAGTTTGCAGACAACAGCAAATAGGCTGAGATTGAGCTCAGAAAGGGCCTTACGCTGCGACTGGGACCTCCGGCCTTGGTTCGACATGCAATGAGGCCAGGCTGTCAATAGGGTGCAAGAATCGACGGTTGGCTTGTTTGGCCTTCACCGCTCTCCTTTTGATGGCGGTTAGTACCGCTCGCAACTCAAGACGACTGATGTGCTCTTTGTCCTCAAACTGGAATCGATTCCAGCTCCAACCACATGCAACGTTCCATGTTCCAAGTCTTGCACACCCCGATGTGCACCTTTTTTACGCATCGGTGGGAAAAGTCGATGTGCCGAATCAAGAACGAAAACTCTACGAATCACAGGCCCTCTTCCGTCCAGTTCGTCCCACAACTGTTCACTTGTACCCTCCGTCGACAAGCTGCAGAAGATTCGCTTGCAGCCTGACGGCCACAACACTGTTCTGAAATTTCAAGGCCAGCTTCAATTGGCCGTGGTGCCTGAAGAATGATCAACGTGAAGCTGGCCCTTCTTCACGGCTCTGTAACGGGCATGCATGATAGCATCACCCGCATTCGCAAACAGTAGTGGCCAAAACGAGCCTTTCTTGCGTGTAGAACACATTCCCGACATCTTGCCAAGAAGACTCCATCATCTGCCATCAGCAGATCAACTGGCGGAGCCGTGCCCTAAATTGAATGAAAGGACGGGTCCTTTGGTGGATCTGTCAAGAACTGCAATAGGAATTGGCACTCCATGGCATCACCTGCAGCGCTCAACAAGCAAGTATGGTGCTCTGAATTCGAGCATCTCTGCCCCCCCCCAATCCCCGCTCAACAAAAAAAACGTATCCTCACCACCACCACCACCACCACCACCACCACCACCTTCCGATAAACGCCCCCCCCCAACCCCATCCCCCCCACACAGACTGCTTCTACTTCTACTTCTACTTCTGCTTCTACTACTACTACTACTACTACTACTACTACTACTACTACTACTACTACTACTACTACTACTGCTACTACCACTACAATAACGACTACTGGAACTACAACTACTCCTACTCCTACTCCTCCTCCTACTCCTGCCCCTACTCCTACTCCTACTGCTACTGCTACTCCTACTCCTACTGCTACTGCTACTGCTACTGCTGCTGCTGCTGCTACTGCCACCGCTGCTGCAACCACTACCGCTACTGCTACGGTTATGGCTACTGGCACCGCCGCTGCACCGGAGGAGGAAGGGAAGGTGGTGGTAAACCCTCCCAGGCTGAGGGAGTGGAGACCGCCTTGCAGAGAGAATCCTAGGTTGTCTTCCTGCTGACAGTTCGTCTATGGCAACGAACTTCAGCAACACTTTCCGTAACGATCCAAGAACTTCAACATGCTACCCCGTGCCCGAATGAATTAAGAAGTGACTTTTGAAGTGGGCGACGTGTCCACAAACAGACACACCTTTGACACGGAGTTGTGGAGCAACCCTTCAAAACCCGTAAGACGTGAAAGAAACTGAGGAGACCACTGCATTCCCGTAGCATGTTCACCAACACCGGCAAGAAGGGATTGGTGGCGGTCCCCGGTTCAGTGCCCCGAGCATTCCTGGACAGGTTCTCGAGTTTCAGCATGAAGCTTTTTAGGCTTGCAGCCAAGACTTCTTTAACCCCCAGGAAAGCAAATCGCTTGATATTTGCACCTGTCTGACCTTCACGGGGGCTCGCTATACTTTGTGCGCGACATTGGTACCGCGCTTCTCCTATCCACATCGCAGACACTAGGAACGGAATCTTGAAAACCCGAACTCGCTGCAGTGTGCTCTTGTCGGTTCACCCAGCCACCACCTCTGGTCTCAGTCAGCAGCATCTTTATGATGGGTTGAAGGTAGCCCGAGGCCTTCAGCAACCGACCGGGTAAAAGTGTAAATCCTTTGTGCCCTCGACCTTTGGGCACTGACGATCCGGACTCACGGGCCTGTAAATGGCGTAGAGGAGGTAGTAGGAAACCAGGCGCTGCACCTGTGTCAGGCGCTTGTCCTCGGGACAGAATCAAACTAATCGCGGGCATTGCCATAAGTGCAGCTTTAGACTCCCAAGACATGTCATGCTTCGGTTTCGGGCCTTACGGCCTAGAACTGGAAGGAGCAGCACCGTCCTGCAGCAGCATGCTGATGACGCAGCCGGCTTGAAACCTGGTGGAAGTGGAGGTGCAGGCAGGGGCCAAACAAAAACTCCGAGATCTCGTCAAGTTGCCACAAATCCTAAAGAGATCAAAGCATATAGTACTGGCCCATGCCCAATCAGCTACATCCTCGCAAACTCTTGCTGCAGCCCGATCGACGAAGTCGGACGCCCCGAGACCTCGAAAAGCTGCACCCGGAAACCTGGTGAGGTCCACGCTTCCCCGTTTCGAACCGATTGCAGAACTGCGCCGCGAGGGTGTCGAAGGGCGTGTCTGCCCTGAGGCTTCGAATCGGTTTTCTCGGGCTTGTCGGGCTTCACGTTCTGGAGCGAGCAGGAGGGTCAAGGCGTTCAAAGGTCTCCAGAGCTCATTGTTTCCCTCCAGTAAACACTCGACTAGAGACTCAACATGTCTAGATCATGCTGGGGATTCAGCAGATGCTTTGCATCGCCAGAATCGGCAAGGCAACTTTCTGACGAGAGCGCCTTCATCGAGTCTCCTAGAGGGCTCCCCATTTCGACAGGAACTCTATCCTCGTTTTGGGGCAAAACAAGGCTCAATGACTGAATTCCGTTTAACATTGCGGCCAAATTCCCGAAATTCTCAGGCTGCAGGGCCCTCCAATCACGAAAGCCAGATCAGATCATGCGTTCAGGGCCCCTTTCACTGGTATTGGGGTACGTAGGGGTTCACTTTGTTGGGGTTTGGAGTGCCACTTACGGGCTTCCCTTTCAGATTCTCGGTTGGATTCGGAAGTGAGTGGTGAAGATGAACGTTTCCTACGAATCAGAAGCTTACCTGTTCTTGCTCTAGCGGTGCTGTAGTCCATTAGTACCACGGCTGCCTCGGAATTTCGATGCCGTACGTCCACATTACCCTTTTACTCTTACTTTGCCGATCCACATCATGGTTGCCCCAGCTCGCAAATCACGGTATTGCCAAGCTCCAACTGGTGGCGCATGCTCTCTGTTGCGCTGTGCACGGCAGTCCTTTGCAGCGTCACACTCCTTCATAACACCGATCAGGGCCATGATGCTCGAAAATCCCACTCGAACACTGGGAACAACTGACTTGTGCAACTCCAGAGCCATTGCTTGCTCGCAGACACGAACATTTAGCTCCCGATTTCTGACATGGCATTGTGGGATTGAGCCAAAAAACATCCGTCGCACGAGTACCCTTTCGGATGAGGGTTGCGCTGCGCTCACCAGCAAGTGACAACCGAACTCCCTCTCAAGGAGGTCTGTCGAGAAATGTTCCTGGGAATGGACACCAAAAATGAACCAACCCTAAACTATACTGAACTTAGAACCCCAGCAAAAATTATAATTTTAGCTGTTTCTTAGGGATTATAATAACCAAAAATTAAAAGAATATTTCTAAGTACCCCTAAGTAAACCCTAAACCCCTAATCCCTAAACTGGGGACCGAGCCTGCAGTGCCTAAGAGACTCAACCCACAGTCCTCATGCTGCTGCTGGTAGACAGCTTAACAAGTGTGACTGTCAACTTACAGTCTAGAGTTTAGGGTGTAGGGCTGTAGGGTTCTAAAGTTTTAGGGTTTGGGGTTTTAGGGCTTAGGGTTTGCGTTTTTCGGATTTAGGGTTTGGGGTTTTAAAGTTTAGGGTGTAGGTTTGAGGGGAAAGTTTAAAGCTTCGATGGGTGGACTTCCCGATCGGGGTTGCCCTGCCTGCCCTACTTGGAGGATCATGGGACTTAGGAAGTAGGGTTATAGGTACCCTAATTGGGGTTATAAGTAATTATAAGTATAGTTACCCTAATTATAACCCTGGTTACTAAGTCAAATGACCCTTTAAGTACTAGTTGATTGGTTACTTGGACCCGTGGGTAACCGTCGTATACCCCCGAAATGCTACTATCCTACACCCGAAACCCTACTATCCCGAACGCACATACCCACGGAAACTTGGAAAGAGCGATTTTTGTGATTCAGTCGCAGGTACCATCCAAAACCTCTTAACAAGTCAGTATACTTGATATATCTCATACAGGGTCCTTCCTTTGCATACAAATCCTTACAACATCCTACCGAAAGCCGTTTGAGGTATACGCCTCAAAGACAGGGATTGCGGTTTGATGTTTATTTCTTCATACATAAGGGGTGGAGGTTCAAGGTCTTCTTCGATTTCATAGGCCTGCTTTAACTCTAAGACTGCAAGCCCTTGAACAAACAACCTTGAAGTCTACAGGGATACCAAACCCCTTACTCCATCAATAAGACACAAAAATCAAAGGTTGAACTTTCCGTTTCCCACTAAACTATAAGAACCCAAAAAGTTTAAAGGTTGGGCATTGGGGATCTAGGAAACTCTAAACCCTCAAACCCAAAACTTTGAGTCATCCTACACATTGGAAACTGAAAACTGGAGCCTAAACCCTCGACACTACCCAGACCACTGAACTACTCTAAACGCCTACATCCTAAACTAAATACCCTCAATATACCCTAAATAAACTTAACCCCAAACCATTAAATCCTAAAGTCCAATACCTGCCTCACTGGGGAAACACGGAGGCTCAGAATCGCTGGCCCGGCGGCGTAGACCGCTGCAGGTAGGTCCTGTGCAGGGATGCATGTGTTTAGTAGCTCGCGTTGTTTAGGGCTCTAGGGTTTCAAGCTTATGAAGGGCTGCAGGGTTTTTGTTTTAGGGTTTAGGGCTTGGGGTCGCGCTCAAGAGAGAGAGAGAGAGAGAACGAGCGGGGGTGTGCGCGGGTGTGTGTGTGTGTGTGTGTGTGTGAGTTTGTTTTCCATATTGTCATAAAATTTGGGCTTATGGTGTTTAGGCTGTAATATGTGGGACTGGAGACTCGCCTCGCACAGTTGAGGGTTGCCTCGAAGACGTCAAGCTTGTCTGCTGCAGCAGCAACACGTGTCGGCAGCCTGGTGCCCTTTGGGAGTTTCCGAAAATCGGGGACCCTAGCATAGTACCCTAAATAGTAGGATCCATCTAAAAAAGGACCCCAGAATAAGGTACCCCTAATCTTCGGAACATCCCATTTGCATCTTGGTGAGTGCGATGCTTTTAGTTTGGAGCAGACGCATCCGGCGTGCACTGCAATGTCAAAGCCAATGCACCCTAAACCCTAAAACCCCAAAACCCTAAACCCTAACCCTTACACCTAAACCCCAAAACCCCCAAGCCCCAAAACCCTCACCCGGGCCATGGCTCCATGGGTCTCAGGCCCACAGGCTGCGGCTTCGAAGGCACCGGCGGCTCTTCTGGATCTGCCATGGGTCAGAAGTCCAGCGACTCTAGTCTAAGTCTACGCGGAGCCCATTTAATTGCATCATACTGTTGATGGACGAAATCCTGCATGACCCTAAGGACTCCAAACTATGGGAACTATGGTATACTCCTTATTATGGGTAATGCAGGATTTTGTCCATCAGCAGTAGTAGTGCTTGCTGCCTCGTGGCACCTAGTGCCACCTACTCCGTCCTCTTCGGCTAGCTTGAGAACCGCATCGCTTTTCGTCCTCTGCAGCTACCCAGAGAGCCCAATACCCTTAATTAAGGAATATGGCTTAAATCATATAGGGCTTCATATTATGATTTAAGCTATATTCCTTAATTAAGGGGTATTGGGCTCTCTGGGTAGGTCTCGAGAACCACATCGCCTTTTGACATCTGGTTCAGGCTCTGCCGCTCGCCACTGGGAGACCGAAGCTGCCCTAAACCACGGCCCGTTTGGCGTTTACTGCCCTGAAACCCAAACTATAATACAGCGTCCCGTTTCTGAATCAAACCTTCGTGGTCTTGTTCTTGTAAAACCCTGAGAAGGACCACCGAGGTATACTGAGATTGGAAGCGAAAGCCATCAACAAGAGCAATGCCAATACCCAAAAGCTTGTAGAGTCTAACTCCCCCCATAAGCCACAGAAGTACAAGTGCAAACTTTCCGTTTCCTACTAAACTATAAGAGCCCATAAAGTTTAAAGGTTTGGTATCGGGCATCTAAGGAGTTTTGGGCCTTGGTCTCCACCCTAAACCCCCAAACCCTAAACCCAAGCCCACGAAATAACTGTCAGAAAGCATCACACCATCCGGACTTTGGGGGTTTCCTGTTTGCTGCATCGCAGCTTTTTATTCCCCTGACTACCCTAACATCACAGCTTTTTATTCGCCTAACTACCCTAAGTTCATAGTCAAGCTAACTGGGCCATCAGATCTCCCAGACCATGATCCCGTCTTGGCTCCCCAGCAGACTACTTTCCTTAGTTTATTTAGGATACAGACAAATAAACCCTAAAAGCTCAACACTGGAATGAAGAAAACCCTGTGGATTGTTGGTGTTTTCTGTTTAAGCTCCTTTTCTTACGGTCCTTCTGCAGGCTTTAGGGTTTAGGGCTACGGAACGCTGCGAAGCCCAGCTGGCCTGGAATTCGAAAGCGAAATCCTCGAAGTCATCCGAGTGCCACTCCTGAGTTTACCCTACTGTTGATGGACAATTTCTGCATTACCCATTATACGGAATATACCATAGTTCCCATAGTTTAGAGGCCTTAGGGTCATGCAGGATTTTGTCCATCAGCAGTAGGTCTCCGTTCCAAGACAGGCACCATCAAGTCCTTTGGGCATATTGACCAAGTTTCCCACAAAGGGTGCTATAGAATTCTAGACGGGTATTTATGTTCCGTAAAGGCTTTGGGGGTTTGGGATTCCCCATCAGCCCCTTTGCAGGAAGGGTATGTTTTCCTACTGAATAGTTCTTATTGGATGAACGGCACAGTTCACTTCCCAAATATCCATGGGGTAAAACTTTCAGAATAAGACTACCTCGTAAGCACCCAAGAGTTGAAAAGGATTTGTTTTTGGATTTCAGAGATGAATCGGGTATCAGGTTACTGCCGGGCGACAGAGCACATCATCTTCCCCACGCATCACTAACAAAACCCTGTGCCGAATCCTAAACCCAACGTATGAAATCCTGAAAACTGAGCACGAGGCCATAGACATCTCCAAACTCTCAAAGCACAATAGTTGCACCCGAAGTCCTGTATGCTTTGGGCGTTGCGTCTCCGACCTACTCAGTTGCAAGAACCCTACGACTCCATGTGCCCGTATACTGTACTTTTACGCCTTGAAGCACCCATATAGGAAGCTCTGAAACGCTAACCATATTCTGGATAACCTAAAGCCTAAACCCTATAACCCCTAAACCCAAGCCCGCTAAAGGCTGAGTACATACTAGAAACCCTAAACCCAAAACCCAAACCCCTTAAAGGCTGAGTATATACCAGATGAATACGTGGAGCCTTCGGGGAAGTTGGGCTTTTGGCCTCAGCCTACTTTGGTAGAGTCGGCCATGGTGAGTTTAAGGGTCATAGGGATTCGGGCTTTAGGGGTTAGGGGTTTGGATTTGGGTATGGGTTATAGTTATGGGTGACATAGACAAAGCGGCAAACATGATCTAAGACACTTGAGGTTTAGGTCAACTTTTACAACGACCCCTTCTCTAACTCCAAAGCCGTCCTTTGCAGGACCTTTCGCCTTGGGACTTGGAGTTCAGGTTGCACGTGCAGGGCTGTGTCTGGGATGTAGGTTGATGAGGATGACAACTTGCTGCACCAAAACGACGTGTTCTAGGGTTTAGGGCTTTAGGGGATAGAGCCGGTTCCTCTTTCAGGGGTCCCGATGCTGAGGATCCGGTAAACAGCTGAGCCTTAACCCTGAACCGGAAAGCTCTAACCCAGACCCCGGGAGGATCTAGAAAGTAGATCCCCTAATTTGGGGACTACTATAGGGCACTTCATAGGAACCCCCATTAGGGGATTTACTTTTTGGGGTCTGGGAATAATACCTTCCATCGCATCGACGACGCTTTCTAAGAAGGCCATTTATAGGATGGTTCTGCATGCTGGCCTTCGTATGAAACACCACCACATCTGGACTCGCACCAAGCACCCAAAACATGTACAATCCCCAAGGCTCCATGTAGCCATATAGTATGTACATATACCCTAAAGTACCCATATAGGAACCCCTTTAAGGCCTAAGTATATACATACTCTATGGGTACATGGAGCATTTGGGTACAATGGCACTCCAAGCCCAAAGCGGAGCATCTCGTGCCGAGGAGCGTGATGCTTGTGTAGCTTGTGGCGGTCCTAAAGCGCAGGCAGCAACACAAGCGCGGCAAAATGGGAACCTTAAACACATATAACCCTAAGGGTCCATGTACCCATATAGCATATACTTTGGGCCCAATGTACCTATGTAGGGAGTACTTTAAGGCCAATGTATGTACTATATGAGTACATGGACCCTTAGGGCCTTAGGGTAATTTGTTAGTATACGATACTATGGCTCAGATAAGAAGCCCTTTCATAGTCGAATGTCCCTAGCCTTATCCTGAATCCAAGACCATCTCATGGGAAGCAGGGCATATGTGAAACGGTGCAAGATGGTGCAGGATTTTTCGGGCTTTGGGTTTGCAAACAGATCGTCTCGTGGGCTTTGTCCCAGGGAACACAGGATTCAGGGTCTAGGCCTTTTGTTTGATCAGGGTCTCACAGTCTCAGTTTGAATAGGATTCGTGTAGGATTTGGGAGGCTATGGCGTTGCGAAGAGTATTGGGGCTCTGCACGAGTTTGGGTCAACTCAAACCGTCCTGGATGGAAATCTTCTTGACGCCCACTTTGGTGCTTCGACCAGACACCTGCAGCGCGGGCGGGCCCAGCCGTGTTCAGGCAGACGTCTGCAACCTAACCTGAGGACGTAAACCTGGACCCGTGTCAGCCTGCATTGTATGAAACGTACGATCTTGTAGGCGGCGTCACTTGTTCTTCAAATCACTCGATGTTCGCTATGAGTACCCAGCTTGACACATACACGATGCAGATACAGAACAGCAAGTTGGGTAATGAGACATCTGACTAATAACCCCACTCCATTACAAGGCTGACAATGCGGATCCTCCCTTCAAGGTTTTGGATTTCGGGTTTGGGCTTGAAGGGGCTTTATTATAATCAGGTGTCAAAAATATCTCAGACCCAAGCAAATTCTTAGCGGTACCTTAGACGCCAATCCCCAAAAACTAAGGCCTCAACCAAACCCCAAACACTAAGGCCTCAACCAAAGGACCTTCTCCCGTCAGCGTATCTTGACATTTAAGTCTGAGGTCTTTACATGCTAGGGTTTAGGGTTTAGGGGTTTAGGATTTAGGGTTTAGGGGCACAATCTTATATAACCTGTGCTTTAGGAGCTTTGGTGTCGAGCTTGAGGTTTATGTACATACACGTCAAGCTCGACACCCAAACTCCTAAAGCCCAGGTTAATCCAGAAGACCCACCATTGCCATTTCAAAGCAAAAGTGTGAGCTTGTAGTTTTCTCTCTGCATTTCTCAATGTACCCGTGCATGCATGCATACGTTCATACATTTCGCTTCATGTCGTTTCACTACATTGCAGAGTAGTAACACTGACATCACCTGGAACAGTAACATGAGCAGTAGCCCTACATTGCATACGTGCATCACAGGCATTTGCACATATGCAGGCAGATAGGCTAGTTCGATCGACATACAAGTCGTTACACCGACGGACTGGTTGACGGACTGCCTGACTGGCCAGCAGACTGACTTCGTGATCGGCTGTTTGCTTGATTGATTGAGCCATGTGTAGTTCATCGTGGGAGTCCGGGCTCTGTGCAGATATAGGGGCTTGGAAGAGTTTAGGATAGATGCAAAATCGTTGAGGAAAGGCTGTCAACCGATTCATCCCCCCTGAACCCCAGACCCTAAACACCACCACCCCCCCTCACACCCCCCTAAACCCTAAACACCCCACCCCCCCCCACCCCACTCCCCCTCACACCCCTCTAACCCTTAACGCTGAACCCCACCATTTGACGAATGCTTTGCGGATCGTGCGGCCGTCTGCACTGTGATCTTCGCCGACTTCGATAATCCGAAGCTAGTTGGAGGCACCTTTGTAGGGCTGTTGGGGTTTGGTTGCATGGTCTAGGAACCTACCTTTTTATGGCCCCCTAATATGATTTCTTTATATGAGTCCCTAAAAAGGTAGGTCACGTGGGGTTAAGGTAGGATTTAGCTGTAGGGCTTTCGGGATTTACGGTTTGGTGTGAGTTGGGGCATCCGGTCTTGCAGGTTTCCGTCGCCCCGGAAGCCTTGGGGCTACTGTGTCCAGGCTTCTGGGCGTACAGTTTGAGAGCACTTGGAGGATCATGGGACTTAGTAAGTAGGGTTATAAGTACCCTAATTGGGGTTATAAGTAGTTATAAGTATAGTTACCCTACTTATAACACTAGTTACTAAGTCCCATGACCCTTTAAACATGGGTTTGGCAAAAACGGCCCCAAGTACACATCAACTGCCTGTAATCGGAAGCACCATCACCCCATTCAGGTGTTACTAAGTACTGAAACGGTGCAAGTTGCAGCCACAACCAACTCGTCGCCAAAGATTCCTGCCAGTTTCCACGATGGCTTCATCATGAAGGGAGCTTAGGTTCTCGGGTCTGCGATGGGAGCATCCAGAAAACCCTCGACCCCCTGAACCCGCTGAACCCTACTCCAAACAGGTCCTATGGCGATGACCGCCGTCTTTTTGTCGTCGATAATGCCATAGCGCGTGGTACAGTACGTGGCTGACCTGACCCGAAGCCAGGGGCTGTCTCTGAGTTGCATACCTACACGACCACCACCTTACTTGACTGTAGGGACCGTATATCAGTCCTACTCTCTACTCTCCTTCAACAAAACATCGAACACATCTGTTGGAGATCCCTCTGCAAGAGACTAATTATTACTATAATCCCCCCTCCAGAATGCGATCAACTGAACAAAACAGCTATATAAGAGCCTGAAAGTAATGCAGAACTATTTTATTTGGATCAGGCAAAGGAGGTTCGGCTTTCTGTTTACGGCACAGGTAGGGAGGCAAGGGAGGCAGGAAGAGCGAGAATGAAAACGAAGACATGAACCTGAAAACCGGCACACTAAAGCCCCTAACCCGTTAACCCTGAACCCTCAACCCTACCCACGAAACCCTACATCCAAATGAACCCGAATAAACCATAAAACCCTACAAGAAGCAGGAGGCAGCGAGGCTAAAAGCTCAAAGATGTTATCGCGACATTCCCTTGACCGCGGGTTTATGGTTTAGGGAAGAAGGGTTGATTCGGGTTTATTTGGGCGCAGGGTTAAGTGGGTAGGGTTCAGGGTTTAGGGCCGGTATGCCTCTTGGTCCTAAAGTCCTGCTTCTTTGGTACTTGTTCTGAATGAGACATCTTGTAGATTGACAAAAAACTAGATCTCCGTTCCAAACTATCATCCAGCTGGGGCCCCCGAATATCATGGAGACACCTCGATGCATCGACAGCTCCGGAGTGTTACTTCGAAACGCGCTGAGAAACCCTAAACTCTAACTGAGTTGCCCAGTATCCTGGAGGAACTAAAGGCTAACCAGTGGGATTATGTAGTAGGGCGTTAATGCCCCAAAAAGGCTAATGAAAGGCTATCTACTCTACTACTGTACTAGGCTAAACCCTGAACCCTCTTTGAGTTCAGGAAACCCTGCAACGTCCAGAATGAAACTCCCAAACTAGCATCCTCAGCCCACCGGGAAGACCAAAACAGAACCCGAAATGAAGGCCCTGACCGCTGAACCCTAAAGCCCTAAAACCCAAAGCGCTAATATGCCCTGAACCCTAAACCTTAAACCACTAAACCTAAAGGCTCTAGACCCTAAGCCCCAAACCCTCTAAGTTCGTGCAGAGCACCGGGCGATCTCCTTCGGAAGCTCTGGGCCGTGGCAGCAGCAAGTGCAGCACTTCTTGCCGCCATGCCTAGCTTCTGCTTTTGCTTTAAAAGGCTTCGACAGTTTGGAGTTTTTGGTGTAATTAGACACGACGCCCTTCTTTCCAAGATCATGAGATATAGACCTGAATTTCAGATCGAATCCCTTGCCCTGAAACCGTGTCGTTTTACATGATACCCTCTAAGTTCTGAGCTGCGCACGAAAAAGGCAAATCCACGATCCCTCAACCGTGTAAGCCGAGATCATCAACTAGCCTTACTTGTGGCAAAAAAGGCCACCGTTTTCAGTGAAAGCAATATTCAAACATACATGTTTATACCTGCGTTCATTCGCCACAGGCATAGACCAACAAAGGCAAGCTACCCCAAAACAGGGAGCATTTGGGAGACACCCCACACCCAGATCCCGCACGCCCTTGTCCCCAAGGCCTAAACCCGACCTAACCCCAACCCTTCACACCTACCTAAACCCCATACTCCAGCAACACCCTATAGAGGCACTACCCTAACCTACATAGTATAAACTTACGCCTGCCCAGAGCCTCCAAAACCCCTTAATTAAGGAATATACCTTAAACTATAATAGGATCCCTAATATGATTTTAAGGTATATTCCTTAATTAAGGGGTTTTGAGAGGCTCTGGGTGAAAGGGGCTCCTATGGGCCCTATGCTTCGTCCTTAACAATCGGGGCGCCCCGTCTCGATGTCGAAGTACTGGGAAGTGCCTGTCGGACAAACTTGCCAGGTCCTCTAAAGGGAAAATTCAGGATGTAGGGTTTACAGTGGAGGAGTGAGGGTATTGGGATTCGGGCATTTAGGGCTTCGGGATTTAGGGTTTAGGTTGTAGGGTCTAGGAGAAACGCCCTTTCATTCAGAGAGTTTCTTTTGCATAGGATTTGGGGTGTATGGCCTTGGCCATCGTAGCTGCCGCAACCCCTCAACCCTAAACCCTAAACCCTAAACCCTAAATCCTAAATCCTTAGCGGCATCCTCTTGGGCTTCGAAATGGGCTCCTATATTGCTACGAACCATGGAACACAAGAACCTTAAGCATGACTTAAGACTCTGATTTCGGGTCTTCATGCTTCGATCTTTGGGGAATGAAGGTGTGCGCGGCTGAGCGTCGGGATCATCAGGCACTGTCTTGTAGGGAATGAGGTTTCGTGCAGTTGAAACCGGGGATAATCACACACATGGAAATGTTGAAGTCTGGTTTTCCTGGCTGCCTCCGGACCCTAAACCATAAACCCTAAACCCTAAACCCTGTTGAAGTCTACCGATAGTCTCCATTGTAGTTCCTTTTTGGGGTTACCTTTTAGGATCCTGAATATAAAATTGGTCAAACCAAAAACAGGAACCACAATGGAGACTATAGGTAGTTTCCCTGGCTTCGGCCTCTTCCCCTCCACTGGCTTTGCAGGGATTTTTGGTTGATGCATATTCCCGAATGTCAAAGGGGAAAGGGAGGGACCCTTAATGGGGACCCCTACCCTATAATGGGCTACATCAAGGGTATATAATAGCTATATTAAGGGTATATACCTAGGGGTCCTTATTAAGGGTCTCTCCTTTTACCATTGGAGAATGGCGCCCATACGAAGCACTACGATCGGCTTCTTGAACTCTAAGCAGGGAGCCCTGGCGAGCAGTAAATAGTTTAGAAACACTAGATACTACATTAAAACCAAAAAGCCCAAGGGTCCAAGTACCTAGTAGTCATATACTCTCCCAAATATGCACCTATCCTAAACCCAGGCACTATTAAACACTATTATTGGATCCTTGGGACCCTTGGAAAAAGCCCTAAATCCCAAACCTCAAACCCAAACCCAAGATCCTAAATCTTCAACCCAAGACCAAACCTGAGCCCCAAACCCTGATTTGAGGGTCCGAAGAAATCACTGGTAGGTACTTGGGCTTGGGATAGTAGTATTGTAGCTTAATACTTGGGGGAGTCTAGCTTTTGATTTCGGAGACTGGATCCGTGAGGTACCCTTGCAGTATCTGTTTCACACTTCGTATACAGCCCGTGACCACTATGCACTTGATGTCTCTAAACCATAAGCTCTAAACCCCATAAACCCCATAAACCCTAAACCCCATAAACCCCATAAACCCCATAAACCCTATAGACCCTATAACCCTATAACCCTAAAACCCTAAATCCTAAACCCCATAAACCCCATAAACCCTAAACCCTATAACCCTATAACCCTAAAACCCTAAATCCTAAACCCTAAACCCCATAAACCCCATAAACCCCATAAACCCTATAACCCTATAACCCTAAACCCTAAATCCTAAACCCTAAACCCATAAACCCCATAAACCCTAAACCCTATAACCCTATAACCTTAAATCCTAAACCCTAAACCCATAAACCCTAGACCCTAACCCCAAGGGTCCAAGTACCCAATAATCATATACTCTCCAAAATCCTAACCTACGTAACTACTATCCTAAAACCGAGTATCTAATTATTGGGTCCTTTGGACCCTTGGGCCTAAAACCCTAAACCCTAGACCCTAATCCCTAAACTCCAAACCCAAACCCTAAAACCCTAAACCCTATGGCACTTATAAGTCTCCAAAATAACTAGTTACTAAGTCCCCCGACCCTCCAAGTAGACCCTAAGCTTTAAACCCAAACCCCCCCTCTATACCCTAAACCCTAAATCCTAAACCCATAAACCCATAAACCCTATAACCCTATAACCCTATAACCCTATAACCCTAAACCCTAAACCCATAAACCCTAAGCTTTAAATCCTAAAACCCTAAATCCTAAACCCTAAACCCCTAAAACCCTAAAACCCTAAGCGTTAAACCCAAACCCCCCCCCCCTCCCTCCACGCCTTTGAGCTCCGTCTCGTCGGTCAATATCCAACCTCTCGGGGTGACTCCCACTAAGGGCTTTAGGGTTTAGGGCTTTAGGGTTTAGGGTTTTAGGGTTTAGGGTTTAGGGTTTAGGGTTTAGCTACAAAAATGCAAGGCTAAAGTTTTCGATTCCTACTAAACTACAAAAACCCAAAAAGGGTTTTCGTATTCCCCCCCCCCCCCAAGAAGCCACAAAAACAAAAGGTTGAACTTTCCGATTCCCACTAAATTTTAAGAACCCAACAAAAAGGTTAAAGGTTGGGCATCGGGGATCTAAGCCCTTAAAGGAACCCTTAAAGTAACTCTCGAAGGAACCCTAAAAACTTTAAAGGAACCCTTACCAAAAGGTGAAGCGTCAGACCCCGGGCCCCTGAACGTTTACTTGGAGGGTCGGGGGATTTAGTTTGGGAAGAGATTCGGCACATAAGGAAATTTCCGGGTAAGGATCTTAGGGGCCCTTCTCGGGTTCTTTAATGAAGCTGGGCAATACAGGATGCCAGGACGTCTTAGTAAGTAGGAAGTAATCTTGCTACTGCTGCTGCGACTGCTGCTAGGATGGTGTATGTAGGCCATGTGTGTAGTATGCAGATTCTGCAAAACTACTGGTATCTACTGCTGCTGTCGTGTGCTGCTGTTGGTCGTGCTACTGCTGCAGCGCTTGCTATTACAATGGTGTGTGATGAGTGCGCGGTTGATGTTCTGCAAGGTTCGATTTGTATTCAACGGGGCAGGATGGGATATGGCCGGAGCATACAAGAATCCCTCGCTAGGTCGTAGCTCTTGGTTTGTCCGGTTCTTTGTTCAGTTACCACGAATGCTTGTGGTTGCGCCCTGGATAAAACTCGGAAGTTGAGTGCAACCCATAAGAACGTGCCTGTGACAGTCGGAGCGGCATTGTAGCAGTCCAGGAAATTTGGCTAAAAGCTTCTTGAAACCTGCGCCTCCCATGTACATAATATACATATACATGCATAGATAAGATACACATGTGCATGCACCTTTACACCATTTTACACCCTTGTCAAACAGAACGTCATTGAGCTCCCCCCCACCCCACCCAGCCACCCCAAGAAAGCTGAACATCACCGAACACAGGAAAGACGAAAGAGCTAAATGTGCAACACACAAGCAAAGGTAAACACCTGGTTCAGGATGTGAGGAATATACCACGAAGGCCGTGTGTTTTTGAGCTTAGCACGAAGTCGAAAGCTAAAACGTACGACCAAAAACGATGTTCGTTTTCGTGCAACAAAATGCCCCTAGCAAAGAGAGAAGAATGGCTGCACGAGGGTGTTTTCGAGGTCAGCGAGTGGGTGTAGTGAGCGCGCGGGTCATACAAAGCCACAAACAACAATGACAGGAAACCACCCTCATAACAGAGCCGGTTTAGGGTTTCGAGTTGCAGTGCGATAAGGTTCTATGAGACCCACAAGCGCTTAATTAACTCAAGGAGGGTTGAAGGTTTAGGGTTATAGAGCGACATTATATGAATCTATGAGATCTCTCAGGGCTTAGCTCAAGGAGGGTTTAGGGTTTTAAGGCTCTGCGAGATCGATAAGGGCATAATTAAACCCTGAACCAAGCCCAAAACTAGTAGCCCCTGCAGGTTCTAAGCCCCCCAAACCCTAAGTGCCCTAAAACTCCCAAACCCCTTAGTCACCTAATCCACAAACCTCACACCCTAAGCTCTTAACCCCAAAACCGCTAAACCCCTATACCCTAAACCCTAAACCCTACCCTAAACCCCGAACTTTAGTCTCCTAGTCCTGCCTTCTTTCTTCAGGATGGCTTTGTGCGGAGTGTCTCGCATCCTCAGCTTTGGTTTGATGGCTCCGCGGCTTCCCTTGCAGTTAGGGCTTAGGGTTTTGGGGTGTAGGTTTTAGGATTTTAGGGTTTAGGGTTAGGGTTTTAGGATTTAAGGTTTAGAGTTTAGGGCTTATACAAAGCTGGAACATGGGTTTAGGAGGATTGGTGCAAGGATTCCTTACACTTTACCTGTAGGGCAGGAGGATAATGATGTTCCAACTTTCTGGCTCCTGCTATGGGGCACGGTTGAGGGTTTAATGTAGGAACCAGATTAAGAAACCTTGGGCCTTTGTTAATTAAGGTTCCTAATGATTAATGTGAACCCTACGATTTTGGGGTTGTACGACCAACGTTTCCGAACAAGGTTCCTACATCAGCGGTGACGGTTTAGGGCTTACAGTTAGTGTGGTTGAGGGTTGAGGCCTTCACAATTAGAGTATGGCGTGGGGGTACTAAGAACCTCTGGGAATTGCAAGGCCAATGTGATTCAGCCCTAGAAGGTGTACGCTTGTATGATACGACATAGGCCTGGGGGGCACTAACAGTCGTACTTGTGACCGTAGCAATATACCTCGGTATTATCAACAGCATCAACCACAACAACAGCAACAACAACGACAACCACAACCACAACAACAGAAAAGAAACCACTGAAACAACAACGACAACCACAACCACAACAACAGAAAAGAAACCACAGCCACTACCAACACCAGGCCCACCGGCACCAGCACCGCCACCACCGCCACCACCGCCACCACCGCCACCACCGCCACCACCGCCACCACCACCACCACCACCACCACCACCACCAGCAGAACCAGCAGAACCAGCAGAACCACCACCCCTGGCACCACCACCGACACCACCAGCACCACGAGGACCACCACGACCAGCACCACCCGGACCACGACGACGACGACAACGACTACTACTACAACAACTCAACAAAAGTGCTGCCACCCTAAGCCCTGAAACTGTAAACTCTTGACTCCCTATCCCAGCATGGAAAACGGGATCCTTGAAAACATTCCTTAGCTACAGGCCCTTAGATACCCGAATTCAGCTACTCTATGCCCTAGACTCTGAACCCTCAACGCCCAAACCGCTGACCCTAGACCTTAAATCCCAACCCATAACTGGACTGTTGAGTAACCAGGATGACAAGTGTATAGTCATAATGGTTCCTTAAAGTAGCAGGTCTCGACAAAAGTATGGTACTCCAACATCCAGAGAAAGGACCCCCCCTACTTGGAGGTTCATGGGTAGTTATAAGTGGGGTTATAAGTAGGATGACTATAGTTCTAACCCGTATTAGGGGACTTGTAACCCCACTTTATAACTGTTGATAATATAAATCCTGCATTACCTTAAGGACCCTAAACTATGGGAACTATGACATATTTGTTATTATGGGTAATGCAGGATTTCTATCATCAACCGAAGTACCCATGAACCTCCAAGTGTTGATCTTCAAGGGCACTGGAGCGTGTCGAAGTCCAGCTCTTTGTCTCCGCTCATTGACTTCCTTTGGACGTATACCGTATATGGGAGTTTCCGAAATTAGGGGTACCCTATGTTGGGTCCCTGTTATAATACGCACCTAATATTTAATCCGTATATGGGAGTTACCGAAAATAAGGGGTACATTATTTCGGAGTCCTTGTAATAAGGATCCTACTATTTAGTGTACTATATTAGTATCCCCGATTTTCGGAAACTCCCATATGGGTTCCTACGACGGTTTGCGTTAAGGGTGCTACAGGAGTTTTGTGGCAGGTTTAGGGTTTTAGGGTTACCCTGCGTCTCTCAAGACTCATATGCTGAGGCTTTTTGACTCCAAAACCAGTCTGCATAAGGCTTTCGTGCAAGCCTTGGGACGGATACGGTTTAAGTCCCAAGGGTGAGGGTTTAGGTTTCGCTGGCATTGGCGCAGAGCTGAGTGCTTAGGCTTTGAGATTGAGGTTTGCAGGTTTAGGTGAAAGAATACAGCCCTGAGTAATTAGACGAAGGGGGTGGGGGGCTCCACTAAGTATGTTCATGGTTCGAAGTTAATCACACCCTCGCACCCGCAAATTACAGGGGTTCTTTTTGCGTGTCTGGATCATAGCGCAGTCTAGCCTTATGTACCGCAGTAAGGCTTTAGGGCTTAGGGCTTCCTCGATCGTATCGGATAGGGTTTAGTAATGCGATGGGGATTTCAGGTACTTCAGTGTCTAGTCTTGGAGACCTAAGACCCCACCATTGACTCGGGATAACTATTCGTATAAACGTTTTTATCATCAATCATACGATTTATTTACTCATCTATTTAATACTTCTATTTCAACGTATTCGGACCCTTAGGCCCTAAAGCCCTTTGGGTGCTCGAACCAGGTTCTGAAGGCAAAGCCTGTCAATAACCTTTACCTACCAAAACCTACTTGGAGGGTCCCTATAAGATCCATATTCGGGTTCAAAATAAGAACCTACAAAAAAGTAGGGTTCGGTAGGTTGAGGAATTGCATAAGGTTCCCACTCTGATGTACACCGCCGTAAACTTCAACGACACTGATGCTGATTATGCTTAGGGTGTAGAGTTCACTTTAAGGTATACAGTAGAAGCCAGAAAGTTGGAACATCATTAGCCTCCTTCAAGGAAAGTATAGGGAATCCCAGCATGAATCATCCTAAATCTATGTTCCAACTTTCTGGGGTTCACTGTAGGGCTTCGAGAACTGCAGGATGATGCTTTCGATGTCTCTTTAGTTTCAACGGTCGACGGCCATGCTCAGTCGACAATCGCCGGTCTTTTCGGCATCTTGGAACGTCGACTGGTGTTACCCCCATCCTCCTGGACGAGCATCACTGAAGAACCCGAGGTCAAAGGTGTCCAAGATGTCTTCAAGGTCCAGCGCCACTTTGATGAGGCAGGAGTAATGCACCAGGGACAACTTCAACTTCGACCCCACATGGTCAGATCGCCATTATCCGAGGACAGCATCGTCGACAACTTCGACATGACGACCGACTTTACTTGTTGGCGGCGTGGTTCCGCTTTGCATCGACACCCACCCACCCGCCCACTGCAAAACACGCACTAACCCATCTAGCTGGAGCCCTCGTGGTTAATAGGCCCATGCAAATGGAACCATTTGGACGTCAGAATCCGACCGAGAACACAAGCCCGACTAAACCCTAGACCCCTTGAGCTCCGAATCCGTTTAACCCTAAAGTCCTGAACCCTATCCCCGAAACAATTAACCCCGAACGCTGAAACACTGATGCTTTATCCTAAAAAGTCTACCCGAAGGGCACAAAGCACCTACACAGCACAAAGAGGGATTGTATTTTGGAGTTCTGACAATGTATAACACCACTATGGCACTTATACCGATCTTCCATTTTCGAACCACCTCATTTCAACCGACAGACGATGATGCAAACGTGAAGAAATCACACAGAGAACGCTGATGGCTCCGCCGTAAACCCTATTAAACCCTACGTAACCCTATAAAAGCCGTATGGAGCCCTGGTAAAGGCTTCAACGTTCTAAACTCTGTACCCCAAAAATCTTATCCAAGACCCTAAACCCTTCGTTCCTAAGCCCACTATGCCTCAAAGTCCACAGTCTCGAAGCTAAACCAACATACACAGAACCTTACAACTCTGAAGTCTAATCAGAAAGCCGCTTCGAAACATTGATGAATCAGGGTAAACCTCTTCCGAAGCCCTATATGAATCTGTAAACCCCATTGCGCCCTGTAAAACAACAAGAAACACTTCCAAACTGTCAAAACCTTGCCACTCCTGCAAATAAAAACTCTGCAAGCCCGAAATCCTCAACCCTATAATCCCTAAACCCTATGAAAACTCAACGCAGCCAGAAGCTCTCCGCAAGATCCGGTGGCCCGCTTCGGGTGCGGGGGTTCATCAGGAGAAGCAGGGAGCCGTTCATGCCTCAAGAAGCCCTTTTGGGCTATGTTTTGGGCTTAGGGAGTTCAGGGTAGGGGTTTAGGGGTTTAGGGTTTCAGGGTTGCGGGGTTTAAAACGGTTTAGGGGTTTGGGGCTTAGGGGGTTTAGCCTTTAGAGGTTTAGGGGATAAAGATGGATTAAGCTTCTGTCAAGGCTAAAACAGAGATCCTCTTAGGGGGCTCTATGGCTTCAGACTGTAGTAGAACTTCGGGCTTAAGGGCTTAGTCTTGTTTGATCTCCTTTCCTACGAAGCCATGATGGTCTCGAGAGGCAAAGACTAGGGTTTAGTGTTTAGGGCTTGGGGTGTAGATGATTACTTGGAGGGTCGGGCGACTTAGTAACTAGTTATTTTAGAGACTTATAACTACCATAACCCAATTAGGATTCCTTTTAGGGTACTTATAACTCTACTTATAACCCTACTTACTAAGTCCCCCGACCCTCCAAGTACAGGGTACTTGAACTGAACCCTGGGCGGAAGCCCTCTAGAAGCCCTCAACACTCAACTCTAAACTCCAAAACAAACCCTCGGCACCCTGCACCACCCTTGCCCTTTTAGTAAGAATAGACAGAGCCCCATACCTATATCCCTTAGTAGGAATTATTCAAGAAGCTCTACTAGCCGGTCTGTGTTATTCTTTTGGGGGAACCATGAAAAAGGACAAGGCCGCCCTGCACTCTAAACCCTAAACCCGAAGTCCGTTGGGGGGATCTCCAGTCCTAAAGGCACAAGAACCCACATGTGAATTTCCGAAAATTAGGGGTACCTTAACTTGGGGTCCTGATAATATGGATCCTACTATTTCGGGTAGTATATTAGGGTCCCATATTTTGGGAAACCCCCAAATAGTGTGATTGCAGGTACCAGGGACCATGCAGAGTTTCGTATTTGAGGCCCACGGCAGCTGGACCATCAACCTAAACTCCATAACTAAGCCTTCAACCCTGCACCCCTATGCCGAAATCGTGTAACTGTAGCGAGGAATCCCGCTTTGCGGCCTCCTAAACCATCAACCCTGTAAACCCTCTTCTCCCCTGTGCCCTAAAGCCTACACCCCGAAGTCCTGATTTGTGGTCTTCTCAGTTACTGAGTTCATAAGCCCCCCAAAAAGTGTACACTTTTAGTTTTATAGTGGGTAATATTATCCCAAAAAGTGTAAAGTGTATCCACTCAGCTACTAAGTCTTCAAGTGGCCCAGCTGAAGCTGGAAGACGTCGATGCAGTTGGGATCCGACGTGTCGAAAGGATTCTCGAGGATAATCGTGATGGCCTTCATGCAGTTTAGGGTCTAGGGTTAAAGGGCTCTAAAATTTCTCATAAGGATGTAAAGTAGGGAGCACAATAAAGGGTAGAATGATGGCCTTCATGCAGAAGGCGTACTCTTTTTGCCCAAAGGCTCCATGTAGCCACATAGTAGGTACTTGGGCCTTAAAGTAGCCATATAGGGACCCCCCTTTGAGGCCTAAGTACCTACTATATGGGTACATGGAGCCTTTGGGTTGTGGAGGGGGAGCTTGGAGGTTCAGGGTTTTGTAGGGTTTAGGGTTTAGGGTTTAGGGGTTTAGGGTTTAGGGTTTAGGGTTTAGGGGTTTAGGGTTTAGGGGTTTAGGGTTTAGGGGTTTAGGGTTTTTTAGGGTTTAGGGTTTAGGGTTTTTTAGGGTTTAGGGTTTAGGGTTACAACGCTAACAATAACCATAACAACCATGACAAGCAGAAGTGCAACGTAAATACTGCCATGATCATGGCAAAGATATACTGATGACGATCAGTGTAGCTTATGTGGGTAACCGTATCGGTAATAACATCGGTAATGCCAATGACAACTTACTAGATAATGACAACGCTTCAACTTCAAACCAATAGCCCTATACCCTAAACCCTTAACCACAATCGGCGCTGTAGAGTGACAGTGGCTCGTAAAGGAACCTCTCAAAGAAACCCTTAACGGAACCCTGAAAAGAACCCTAAACGCTTAACCCCAAACCCTAAAGCCTAAACCGTAAACCACAAAATCCCTGAACCTTAAAGCCTAAACCCAAAGCCCAGAAAACTTTCGAAAGAAGGCCTCGAGGGTCCAAATGAAAAAGAGCTGCACAAAGGTGAAGATGAAGGCACCCGAGATCCAGTCCTCGGTTCAGGGTTAGGGTTGAGCCTATATATTGAGTACTTTCAGGCCAATGTATATACTATATGAGTACATGGACGCTTTCGGATTTAGGGTTTAAGATCTAATCCTCGCTTTCACCCTAGGGCTCCGAAAGGGGTCATGGGCTTTCTGGGCGAAGGGTTTGGGCTTTGGGGGGCTAAGGTTTGGGATTTCACTCATTACGAGGGTCCAGGAGCCTTATGGCAAATTTAGGGTTTAAGATCCAGTCCTCGCTGCTTTTTGAGTTCTGAGCTACAAAGGACATGGAGATAGAACACCAGAAAGAATGGAGACATGATGACCTTACAACGCGAACAAAAACCCCGAAACCCCTAGAGTACCCTTATAGATCCCTTTAAAGGAACCCTTCTAGATCCCTTTCCCAAAGGCTCCATGTACCCATATAGTAGGTACTTAGGCCTTAAAGTACCCATATAGGGACCCCTTGAAGGCCTAAGTACCTACTATAAGGGTACATGGAGTCTTAGGGTTTGAGGGAACCCTTATCTATAGAACCCCTAGAGTACCCTCAGAGATCCCTTTAAAGGAACCCTTCTAGATCCCTTTAAAGGAACCCCTCTAGATCCCTTTAAGGGAACCCTTATCTATAGAACCCCCTACGTAGCCCATAACCTCCCGCCGACTCCCAGGTTCGAGGCCCAGGCAGTCGGTCCAGTAATCCACTGGGAACTTGGAGGGTCGGGGGACTTAGTAACTAGGGCTCCTTAAAGGGATCTATAGGGTTCCTTAAAGGGATCTATAGGGTTTAGGGTTTAGGGTCTACTTGGAGGGGGGACTTAGTAAGTAGATAGTAAGTAGACTTATAAGTACCCTAAAAGGGAGCCTAACTTGGGGTTATGGCACTTATAAGTCCCGAAAATAACCAGTTACTAAGTCCCCCGACCCTCCAAGAAGGCGGTATGTTTTTGGGTTGGGAACTATCTATCGAGGGTTTAGGGTTTAGGGTTTAAGGCTTGGTGGGAACTATCTGGGAGTTTCCGGAAATAGGGGACCTTAACATTTTTACCCTGAAGAGCAGGATCCTTGTTATCAGGACCCCAAAATCAAGGTACCCCTAATTTTCGGAAACTCCCATCTATATTCATAGGGACCCCCAGGGGGGTAGGGGGGCCGCGGGTGACTATATCTTCTAAACTCGGCCGTATTAAGTCATTATTCTAGGTATCTTTTTGGGGTGGGAACTACGGTTGATGTTACAAACCCGGAATTACCTTAAGGGCCCTAGGCTAATTATGGGAATTCTGGTATATTCCTCCTTATGGGTAATGCAGTGTTTAAACCATCAACCGTATCTACATTATAAGAGGCGCCCGTAACTATCTATATATTATACGACGGCCCCAATTGAAGCAATATGTATACCCTAAACCCCTGAAGCCTAAACCACCAACAAACACATACCACTGACATAACCCAGGCACGGACCACTGCACCATCATCATGGGCATCCTGGCCACAGGCGGCTCAGAAACATCTCTACATATAAGGCCATGGGGCTCAGGGTTTAGGGTTCAGGGTCTAGGGCTCAGGGTTGAAGTGCAAACGTTGGGGTTCAGGGCTCAGGGTTCAAGCTTCACAGGCTTCTTCTCCGGTTTCAGATTTTTCTTGTGGTGGATACTAGTTGCAGTAAAACTAATTGTGATGCTACCTCCAGTAGACGTGGTGACTCGAGCCTTCCGAACTTCATGCCCGCATCCTCAGCTCTAAGAACAACAAGTCAACAAAACCCTGCAACACCTTACGTTCACTTAATTATGCCACTTATGGTCTCCGGCTTAGCTTTATTCTAGGCGATGCCCTACAACCCACGTTGCGTCAAGCTGCAGGAGAGAGTACAGGACCAGAAGCCACTTGCAAGTCTGCGCGTAGGGGAAGTTGAACTGCGTTGTTGCATGCCTGGGCTGCAGACTCCAAACCCTCAATTCGGATCCTAAACCTCCACCCGGCACCTTGAATCCTGAGCCCAACTTTAGTTACAACTCGTGTACCTTGGAATTAGAGGTCTGAACAAATTTATTTGGGTTTTGGGTGTATTGGCTACCACAAGATGTTTCAACATAAAGATGCATTAGGTAATCCTATCGCATGATAATTCCAGGCACCCGGGTCCCTGTATTCCACCACCCCCGGAAGTGACTGTGCTCTTCTCTGATGCTTTGGGAAGGGTTTGCAAGCTGTCCAGTAACCCACTTGAAAGTCTACACTTTCTTGGGTTGGCTAGGCCATAATTGCAATGCAGCAGCTGAAAATGTCTCCTAACCACAGAAACTACACCAACGAACAATCTAGCCTTGTTTGGCTGGGGTTGAGAATGTAGCCTTGAGAGTTCTTCAATACTCATGTCGTGGGGTACCCGTAACAAGCTACGATTTTTGTCTAAAATGTGAGGGTTTCGAGGATTGCAAGGTCTTTGGCACCGGAACCATGCTACTCCAGGGGCAGAAATGAGTTTTGAAGGTTTCGCATAGATATACTATAATCATCCTTGCAATAAGGGGTTATTTATTAGTTATTCCAACCTCTACAATAGGGCTGGCTGCTGGGCACAAAATAGAGCCTGCGGCACCTAGCCGCTGTTGTGTACGTATACATAAAAACATATATATATATATATATATATATATACATATGTATATACCATGTACGCGTGTGGATGTGTGTGTGTATATATATAATATAGATATATGCGACACTGAGCGTACAGCTGGTCACCCTCAGACGATGCTATTGAGGCCCTTGAGAGGGCATAGGGGGTAAACATACCTTAGATTGCAAGTCCAGTTGCTTCTTGGCATCGCCGAACTTGCTCATTCCTCGGAGATGGGGGCCCTAAACCCTAAACCCCCAAACCCTAAACCCGACGCTAGGTCTGAAAGCCGAGGGCGAAGAATTTCTGGTTCGTGCTTGGGATAGTGGGATACGGTTGATGATATAAATCCTGCATGACCCATAATAAGGAATCTACCATAACTCCCATAGTTTAGGGTCATTAAGGTAATGCAGGATTTATATCATCAAAGGTAGCATTAAGTTAAGAACTGCACGCTTTTAAGCCGACCCCAGGCCCTACACCCGTGGACCCTAAACCAAACCCCACCCCTGATAGCCACACGAAAATAAGAACATATGGGGTTTCCGAAAATGGGGGACCCTAATTAGCCTAAATAGCAGGATCCGGCCCACTACAGCCGCCTTGAATCCTCACACTACCTCGCATTCTGAGTCCCAAGGCCAGCCTTTTAGTGTTTAGGGTTCGGGGGTTGCAATTTTACAGTTCAGGGTGTTGGAAGTGAGGGTTTCTTGAAGCAACACTGCTTGAACATCTTGCGCCGCAAGACTTAGTCTCTTGGCTCTAATGCCTCAAACTCGAGGCAGCATGCCTGCTAGTCCTGAACCGCCCAGAACCATGTGGCTAAGTTCAGGCAAGGACGGGAGAACGCAACACCGAAAAACAAAAATGAATACAAGATAAACCCTGCTGCACAAACCTTGACCCCAAACATAAACTCTAAGCCCTACTGCAAGCACCCTAAAGTCAGAAACCCTGAACCTTTAGACCTCCAAACCGTCATCCCTGAAATTATGGCGCCCGCTTCAACCTAATGCCCGGCACCCTGGAAGCATGAATGAAGCTCCCTGCTTGGAGGGTCGGGGGACTTAGTAACTAGTTACTTTAGAGACTTATAAGTACCATAACTCCGATCAGGATCCCTTTTAGGGTACTTATAACTCTACTTATAACCCTACTTACTGAGTCCCCCGACCCTCCAAGTGTGAATCCCAAACCATAAACCCTAAAGCCCTAAACCCTACACCGTGGTTTAGTTGTGCAATATCCCAGGGGAGCCAAAAGTCAACCTTTGGGATTACGTAGGGATTACAATTTCCCCCAAAAAATCACTTAACCCTACTGCTAAGTTAAGCAATCTACTTTGAACTGCAGCGAGATACACCTTAACCGACCAAACCTTTCTCTGCAGTGTCACCACATGTTCCATGTTAGGATACGTGAATATGTGTGCGTATCTTTGGTGTCTGTACGTTTGTCTACATATATATATATATATATATATATCCTTTATTTGCTTATATGGGCAGTCACCACAGAGAGTCAGTAGGCTATGGTAGGAAGCGAAACCCCAAGGCCGAGAAGCCCGAAGACAGCTCAGCAAGCATTCCGGAAACCATCCTAAGTAGCTAGGATACCCAGTAACCTAAGAATAAAAAGGCCTCTCTTTTTGGTATTGGGTAACTTTATAAGGAACCTAGGACTACAAAAAGGGAATAAGGGTACTACTGGGCATCCTAAGTAGGGATTGGATTTGGGATTTAGGATTGGATGCTCAGTTGCTGTGTTGATTTTTAGGACCACGGGATTCACGTCTACGGTTCCCTTTCATGTACAACTTTATTGTAGGGTTTAGAGTACGGAGACCTTTTAAGGGTTCTGTATGGGTTTCGGTTGGACGTGCTTGGGCCTTACTAAGGCTTTCTCGCATTTTCTTTGATGCTAAGGGCTTCATGACCTTATGAATTTCATCCTCGCCGCCGCATTGTTTCAGGAAGTCTATCGGGTTTGACGTTTCCTGTTTTCTATACCCCCAGGAGAACCATAATACGAATAACATGTCTAATTTTCTCTTGGGTCTTATATGGACCAAAATACAACTAATTCCTAAAGGGACTATCGGATATCGTTTTTGAGGGGTGGGATTCGGGTTGGAGGTTCACGGCTTAGACTTTGGAAAGTCTCCTCGTGCTTTGCATTGACTTCCGGCTTTCAAGACCTTGAGGGGTTTGGGACTTTCCTTACCTGGAGGGTCGGGGGACTTAGTAAGTAGGAGGCAAGTAGACTTAAACTACCCTAAAGGAGACCCTTACTAATTGGAGTTAAAATACTAATAGCTCTACAAGGTACAATATCAACTTACTAAGTCCCGGGTCTGAGCCCTTTAAAGGAACCCTTAGAGGAGCCCTTATAGTCACCTTTTGAAGGAACCCGAAAGGTACCCCCAACTTTCGGAACCTCTAAACCCTTATAGAGCCCTTTAAAGGAGAATATATTCCTTAACTAAGGGATATTAGGATCCCCTAAACAATGTAGATCCCTTATAGATCCCGTAAAGGAGCCCTGGGCCCGATGGTATTCCTTAACCCGGCTTCGGGAGCAGGGCCTTGGGTCGAGGGGCTTAAGGACTTGGAGTTTGCTGTTTCGGCAACCTACGGTGGATGATTAAAATGGGTTCCTTTAAAGGGATCTATACGGGTACCCTTTCAGGGGTTCCTTTAAGGGATCTATAGGGGGTTTGGGGTTTAGGGTTGATGATCAAAATCCTGCATTACCCATAATGAGGAAGATAGCACAATTCCTGTAGCTTAGGGCCCTTAAGGTATTGCAGGATGCTTGTCATCAACCGTAGGTAAGCCCTAAACTCTCAAAACTTATTGGTGGTTGAAATGTTTTCGGTATCAGCCGGGGTGGGTGTTTGGGGTCTATATGTATGTTCTAGTTTCATGCCGATTTGGGGACCCTTTCGAACCTGCATCGACATGCTCCAGCGCTTTACAACACTCATGTGCAACTGGTTGTGATTTGTAAAGACATCATTCAGTCTGAGCTCAAGCTTCAGGATATAAGGCTTTATTGAACACAATGCGTTGGGGCTTCGCAGAGTTATAGACGGCGTGGTTAGAAGCGGGCTACAGCTCAACTGCTCATGTCCTCCGTCAAAGAACTTAACTTTGTAAGGGCTTTGCGTACTGGGTGTTGCAACGGCTTGTGGATAAAGGTTACCTACTCTACTACTACCTAAACCCTCAACCCCAAACCCTAGTTACCAAGGCACCTAGAAGCCTACTCTCTGAAACCTACAAGCCGGAATTCCTTAATTCCCCAAGGTTCGGCGCTGGTGCAGAAAGGAGCCCGGAGCGCTGACCTCGGTGACATGGCTTAATATAGGGGCCTTACGAATCAAAATGGGGTTTGTAGAGGGGCTTATGTGTATCGCGACCTCAACAATTCGAGCAGGATTTCGGAGAATATGGTAGTAGTCTGCAATCCGGGCAATACTTCCAACCATGCAGACCTCCATGTTCGGCTTTCCTTGTCTCGCGGTAATGGGCTTTCTTTTTTCGGAGAAGCCGATACGCGGGTATCAGGTGGGGTTTCGGGTGGATCGTGCTGTTGGGCCCAGGTGAGGCAAACCTCCTAAACCCTGCCCGTGGACAAAATCCTGCATTACGTACCCATTATAAGGAATATACCATGGTTCCCATAGTTTAGAGTCCTTAGGGTCATGCAGGATTTTGTCCATCAACATGTGATGGCCCAACACTCCCGAACTATCCTCTAGCAGACCCTCCGTGCGCAATATGGCGATACAACGAGGTCTCTAACCAAGACTTATGGTCAGGGTCCTATAATCAGGAAATTAGGAAATCATGGTCCCGTTTTGGGTACCCTAAATATTAGGCCGTACTATAGTAAGGACCCAAAAAGGGACCCCAATATTGACAGCCACCCATCTGGCCTGTGGGTAGACTCTGAACCGCTACATCCTGAAGCCTGGCAGGCATAGCTGCTTACACAACGCAAACACCCCAACAGCTCATATCGGTGCGGACCAAGTCACTGTCCACAATGAGCTGCTGGATCCAATGGTAGCAAAGGTCCACCTCAGGTCTGCATGTCGCTTCGGAGGTGGAGGCTGTTGAGACCTAAACCCTAAACCCTAAACCCTAAACCCTAAACCCTACTCACCGGGCCTACTTTACGGACTCAGTAGGATATGCACAGGCACCCCAGTATGAAGTAGCAGAAGAGCTAATAGTAGATATCCAGATATATACAAACCACATACATATAGTTAGGCCATTAAAGCATGGCTTATGATGCACTAAGTCCCATGATCCTTCAAGGGGCTTCGGGCATAGTCGGCTAGAGCTTGACACTTATACCGTATCATCTGTGAATAAAGCCAGTTTTGACAACTACTATAACCCTACAACGTCCTATACAACCTTTTGCAAACCAGTATGTAACATGTAATTACCCTAAATCTCTTGAGAATTGCGAACCCGCCCCCGCCCATCCCAGTCGGTCCAGCGACGCGCTGGCTACTGCCGTCCAGTGTGGCCAAGGAGGTCTTGTCAATGCCGCCGGAATTCCTAGGTTTCAGTTTAGGGTTTTCAAGGTTGCTATAGAAGCTAGGTGTTATAATGGGTTAACGGTTTAGTATTTAGGGTTGAGGTCTTGTCAATGCTACCGGAGTTTCTACCTTTTATATGGATTGAACATGTCTAAGTTTCGTTTTGACGGTTCAGGCTTTCGAGAGGGTTTAGGGCTCAGGCTTCAAAGTGTAATTACTCAGGCACCTTATATGGGTGGTTGTCAAAATTAGGGTCCGTTTTTGGGTTAAGGACCCAAAAAGGAACCCTAATTTTGACAACCATCCATATGAATATCGGCGCCCTAGGTCTTCCTACGGCTGGTGATGCAAAAAATCCTGCATTACCTTCAGGACCCGAAACTATGGGAATCATGGTATATTCCTGAGTATGGGTCATGCAGGATTTATACCATCAGCCGTATGTGGTACCAGGTTACCTGTTGGACCCAAGTGGAGGCGTAGTTTGTGCAGTTGGACCTATCGGGGCGGGACAAGGTTTCGTGGCTCTATTGCAAAATCTCCGAACCCCCAAGCCCTAAACCCTAAACCCTAAACCCTAAACCCCCTAAACCCTAAACGGTTTAGGGTTTTAGGGTTTAGGGTTTAGGGTTTAGGGTTTAGGGTTTAGGGCCAAGCCCTAAACCTTAATCCCTAAACCCCTAATCCCTGAACCCCTGATCCCCAAACCCTAAACCCCTAATCCTTAAACTTAAGAAACCCCTATACCCTAACCCCTAAACCTTAAAACCCCCACGACCAAGACTTTCAATTAAAGCCTCCAAACCCAAGCTCAAAACCCCGAACCCAAAACGTGTAACACCCCTCTATCGCCTTGAGGAAGGTCGGTACGTAAGGTTTACGACAACTCTCTTACTCTTTCTACTTGGAGGGTCGGGAGTTACTTATTTTAAGGACTTTAAGTACCATATTCCCAATTAGGATCCCTGTTAGGATACTTATAACTCTACTTATTACCTACTTACTACTCCAAGTAGAAACCCCACGAATCCGGCCCAGGCACAGTGTGAGCAATCCCCATACTTGATGCGACTTCCTTGGAGACAGCTCCTTCAAGGCTCATGCATGGAGGGTCGGCGGACTTACGGTGGATGATATACATCCTGCATTACCTCAAGGACCCTAAACTATGGGAATTATTGTATATTCCTTATTATGGGTCATGCAGGATGTATATCATCAACCGTAGCAAGCAGGTAAGAAGTAGAGTTATAGGTATCCTGAAATGGATCCTATTTGGGGTTATGGTGTTCATAAGTCTCTAAAGTAACTCTTGCCTGACTTCTGAACCCCTCCAAAAAGTTAAACTTTTAGCCTCCTTGCTATAGTTCATATAGAAACCCAAAAAGTTAAAGTCCTAAGAGCCAACCAGAAGAACGCCAAGAACTAGTTACTGCGTCCCCAACCCTCCAAACAGGGTTCAGGCGGTTGTGAAACCCTCCGCCCTGATGCCTGAACCCTGGTTGCTGCCCCCACTTTGTAACTGTCTACATTAGGGGTCATTCGGTTGATGATATAAATCCTGCATGACCTTAAGGACCCTAAACTACGGGAATTATGCTACCTTCCTTATTGTGGGTCATGCAGGATTTATATCATCAACCGTTACAAGGGCTGTCTACAAAATCTATGAAACATATTATCCAGCTGTTACAAAGTGGGGGCATTACACAGCCCATCCTGGAAAACAGTCCCCAAACCATAAACCCCAAACCCTAAACCCCTAAACCCGAAACCCCGGACCCTCAAACCCTGGGCTCAGTCGGCTTATCGTTTAGGGTCTACGGCTTCGTGGTTATTTTTTTTTGAGGTTGAGTTTTTTGGGGTCCCAGAAACTTAAGCTTTGGAGTTTAGGGTTTAGGGATTGTGGGGTTTAGGGTCTCTGTCTCTGAAATCCCTATATTCTAAGATAGCCCGTATTTCGTCAAGCTTAAGCCCTAGAGCCTGTAGCCTTTACGCAACTTGCGAAGCATTCCCCCATATGCCAGAAACCTCGAAAGCAGCCCTCAACTCTGGTGTCCTCAACCCTAAAGCCTTTAAACCCCAGACCCTAAATCCTGCAAGCTAAAACCCGAAATCCTAAACCCTAAAAACCCTAAACCCTAAACAGAGTCCTGCAAGGCGCAGGCACTGAGCATGCTGAAGAGGCGGATCACTTTCTGCAGGAAGGCCTCCACACCCAGAGACCCCCAAATCGGTTTAGGGCTTTCTGGTCTTAGGGTTTTCGTGTTTTGGGTTTTGGGTTCCGGGTGGCAAGGTTTAGCATTGTAGGGTTTAGGGTTTGTAGGGTTTATAGGGCATCGGGGTCATAGAGTTTAGGGTTTGGCATTTAGCTTGGCTCCAAAACACCTGAATAAACGGCCGGTGCAGAATAGTGTAGATTTGCAAGGCTTCATTCCGGTTTGTATGGTTCAGGGTTGAGGGTTAGGGGTGTAGAGTTTAGTGTCTTGGGGGGCTCTTGAACCCCTTGACTGAAGGCTGTTGCAGACTTTCGTAGTCTTGATTGGCGCCATAACGGTGTGTCTGGTTTCTCTGCCGTCGATAGTCAATATATAATGAGTGCACACCAAAAGCGACCTGGTTTGAAGCGTTCTTCTATATATCATAGTAGATTGCTGATTTACGAGATTGTGGAAATGGTCGCAAACCGACAATTCGCTGGTGCTCCAAAAGACCAGATAAACTCAAGGATGCTACGTTGGGTAGAGGGTACAGGCTTTGCGTTCAGCGAGGATTGGAGCTCTACACAGAGGTACCCAAACAGAAGGAATGTAGGTCCCAGTCCCCAGTCAGAGTGTGGCTTCTTGGTGTTCAACCACTGTACTTGGAGGGTCGGGGGACTTAGTAAGTAGCTAATAAGCAGAGTTATAAGTACCCTAAAAGGGATCCTAAATGGGGTTATGGTACTTATAAGTCTCGAAAATAACTAGTTACTAAGTCCCCCGACCCTCCAAGTAGAGGTCGCAACAACTAGCGACAGCATTCCCTTGTACTCTAAATCCTAGAATCCTTCTACCCTCAAGCCCTAGATCTGAAACCCCTATGGCCCTAAAGCCCTAAACCCCAAAACTCTTCTACCCTCAAGTCCTAAACCAAAAAGCCCCTATGACACCAAAGCCCTAAACACTAAAACCCTTGTACCCTCAAGCCCTACAAAGCCCTCAAACCGCTAAAAGCCAAAATCCTAAAACCCTAAATCCTAAAACGCAATCCCTCAAACCCAAGCCCTGAAGCCCCAAACCCTAAGACCCTAATCCCTCAAATCCTGGCCCTAAACCTTGGAAACCCTTACGTGCAGCCCATCCCCAAAACCTTAAGCTCTGAAGCCAAAATGTCTCGAGCCAAATCCTAAACCCGCATGTAGGGGCCTGAACAAAAAAAATAGGGTTGTGGGGCATCTTATACTATAAATATAATAAGGAACCGCCACAATAGTATTGGTAACTATTTAGGCCCCTAAATTCGCCTCGGCCCGGGCCGAAGCGGTCAGGTTCCTATTCGGATTCCCTCTATTCCCCACCTCCTAATCCCCTCAAACGTAACGCTGCATCGCTGGACCCCCGGCCCCCCCCCAAAAATGGAAACCTGTAGAAGAGCCCCAAAGTCCGGCGGCGAATTCTCGCCTTCTCCAACGAATTTTGCCTCTCTGTAGGCAGTCCCACCCAACTTCCTCTGTTCCGCGTCCAAACAGGCAGCGGTCGTTCCGGTGCCAGCGCAAGCTCCATCCGCTGCTGCTACGACTTGTACAAGGCTCAGAAACTGAAGCTTGCGAGCTGTCGGCTACAAAACTTACAGGTTCGGAAGTTTGGTCGAAACGAGCATGGCATCGATGCAGCCGTTGTGGAGCATGCAGCGAAGAATGAAGCTTTAGGCTTGAGAGATGAGGCTTTGAGTTTAGCGTCTTAGGAGCAAGTCGTTACGGGATGAAGGTGCTCAGTCTGCATACCTCAACCAACCCTAAGAGCCGGGCAAACAAAAGAAAAAAGGGTACCACTTAAAACTAAGTCATATGGTTTGAGGGTCCTTCAAGGACGCCTTCACAGTGCGCTTGCTTCCGTCACGGCCGGGCCGAGGCGGACGATGCGAAGCGTTTAAAGTTAAACCCTTACACCAGGCCCTCGCTTCGACTTCGGCGTCACCCTCAAAAGAAGCCCCTTCTTGATCGTTGAAAGAGCCCTTATAGTACCCTTCAGACTAGTCCGTGGTTGGGATAGTACTAAATACGCAAAAGTCGTTTCCTTTTTGGGGTAGGTACCCATAAAACCCAACATGTGACCAAAAATAGTCCGTGGTTTGGGATAGTACTAAATACGCAAAAATCGATGCCTTCTTGGGTTCAGGTACCCATAAAAACCTAACATGTGACCCGACTATAACAAAGAACCCGCAAAATACCCATGAAAGAACCCTTCGAGTACATCTTTGACAAAACTCTTAACACAGTCTTACGGCATCCAAAAAAGCACCCTATTAAAGTACCCGAGAAAGGAGCTCCAGCCTCCACTTCCGCATCACTGGCCCCGGTGCCACGGCAGAAGGCCACAGCGGAGGCTGCAGCACCGGACCAGTCCTTGGGTCAGCGTGCGGTATATAGTACTTAAAGGGTCATGGGACTTAGTAACTGGGGTTATAATTAGGGTAACTATACTTATAATTACTTATAACCCCAATTAGGGTACTTATAACCCTACTTACTAAGTCCCCTCCAAGTAGGGCTTAGGGTTTGGGGTTTAGGGGTTTGTTTAGGGTTTAGGGTTTAGGGTTTGTTTAGGGGTTTAGGGTTTGGGGTTTGTTTAGGGGTTTAGGGTTTAGGGGTTGTTTAGGGTTTAGGGTTTGTTTAGGGTTTAGTGTTTAGGGCCCTGACACTTACTGGTCCCAAGCCCAAAGGAATAAAAGGTGAAACTTTCAGAATCGCCCACCTTATAAGAACCCCAAAAGTTGAAAAAAGTTTACTTTACAGCCAATAGGTACATTAACCCGTCTGGGATTCAGGGGTTCAGGGTTTAAGGGGAGCCGTAGTTCTTGCAGCTCGCCTTCTGCTTCTTCTTGCGCTAGTGCAAGACGAAGAGAACGGGCTCTACTTGGAGGATCATGGGACTTAGTACGTAGGGTTATAAGTACCCCAATTGGGTTATAAGTAATTATAAGCCCTAGTTACTAAGTCCCATGACCCTTTAAGTAGGGCTTTTGGGGTTGAAGGTTTCCTGTGTCGTTTTTTGTGTGAGAGACATTCGGCCCATTCTGCCCTCATATGTACCTGTTCCCGACAGATCATCCAGCACGATGGCGAACGGGCGTAGTGCCATGACAGGCTGTACCAGCTTGTCAAGACCCTCCAGCCCTAGCTCCCAAGCCCCGAAACCCTAAGCCCTCAAACCTTAAAACGACTAACCCAGAGGCTCCAAAACTCCTGAATTAAGGAAGATCCCTTAACTTATCCTAGGAACCCAAAATATGATTCTGAGAACGTATATTCCGTAATTATGGGGTTTGGAGTTTCTGGGAAACCCAAAAACTTACCCCCCCAATAAGCCACAAAAGTACAAGCCTGAACTTTGCGGCTCCTACTATTCAAAGTACAAGAACCCAAAAAAGTTTAAAGGCTGGGGATTGCTTGCCTTTGGTTAGTAGGGAATGGAGGAATGGGGTGCAACTATGACTACTATTGCTACCATTCTGCCATTCCCTTCTAACCAAAGGTAAGATTGGGGATCTGAGAAAACGAAGACTAGGATACCTAGTAACCTAGAAAAAAAAAGGCCTCTCTGTTTGGTATTGGGTAACTTTATAAGGAACCTAGGACTACAAAAAGGGAATAAGGGTACTACTGGGCATCCTAGAAGAGTTGCAGGCCGGGCCACTCCAAGGAAGCCATTCGTCGTGGTGTAGGCGGCCCTTTTGGGCTCGGGGCTTGCGGTTTTTGAGGGTTTACCTGGACCAAGAAGAACCTACCTTTTCAGGGTTCCTTTAAAAGGGTTCCTTTAAGGAATGCATAAGGATACTACAGAAGTTTAGGGGCTTAGGGTTTAAGGTTTCGGGTTGAGGGTAGTCGAAGTTCTGGTTGAAGGGTTTAGGGTTTGAGGCTCAGGGCGTTTAAGGTTTCGGGTTTGGGGTTTAAGGCTTGGGGTTTGGGGCTTGAGGTTGGAGAGTTGTTTAGGGTTTAGGGTTCAGGCTGTTTAAGGAATTCGGAATAAATCTGTATCATGCGGGTGTGCACATCTGGCGGTTTAGGGTTTTCGTGCTTATCGAGATTTCATCGGAGTGTACACGGCTTCATAAAGGCTCTATATGACCTGAGGGCTTGAGAAAAGCCTGGCACAGCCTGTTTAGGTATCTATCGCGAACCCGTAACCCTAAGCCCATTATAGTAAATCATTGTTATAAGGCTCAGAGTTTAGGGCTTGTGGCCTGCACTGTGCTGAAGGACTTTCCCAGAACCATGTTGCCAGAATCCTCTGAGCTCAAACATTCGATATTGCACCAAATCCGTTCAATACATGATAAGATGCTCATAAGCCGTGGCTACCATACTTCGTAGGATTCTTACCGGGCTTTTTGGTCAAAACCCCCATACCCTACACCCCTAAAAACCCCTAAGCGTTGGGAACCGTATGTAAGAAAATCACTGATTGGTGTCCCTGGGCACCCAACTGTCCTGCCCGAAACCCAAAGCCCACAACAAATAGAATGGCGAGTTGCCAGTATGTCGAATAAGCAGCGGATAGTCGGAAAACGATGACGAAGGTGACAAAGCCGCTGAAGCCTTGCTGGAAGCGTGACTTCAGCGTGCAGGATGGTGTTAGGGTTCAGGGGTTGGCGGAAAGGTTTTGTGTGGAGTGCACAACGCTTCTGTTGAAATGCTTTCGGAATGTACGATGTGTTCCTATACAGTGCCTTGCAAGGTCAGGTTAACTTGAGGTTTACATGGTTTAGGTTTTAGGATTTCGGTTCTGGGGGCTGGGGGCCTTGACCTCAAATACTCCGAGCGTTATGCGTATAGGGTATCGGCGTGTGCTATGTGTATGGTATAACCGTAGCAAACCCTTAGACAACATAAACAATAAGTAGTAAATAACAAAAACGGTGTAAAACAACACCCAAACATGCATACACCCAAACATGCATATATATATATATATATATGTGTGTGTGTGTCTGTATATATATATATATATATGTATATATACATGTGTATGTATGCGCACACATATATATATATATATATACACATATTTATAAATATATACATACACATATATATATATATATACACTCCTGTGAACCCTGTTGAACTGAAAGTTGTTACTATCTCTTGCTACTAGTTGCAGCACCTAGGCTATCCAGGTTTGGCTTCACAGATAAGACTTGCTGTTGGCTGGCTTGGGAGGGCGTAAAGATTAAGCCTTCTTTTTCGAGCTTCATAACTTGAATCTGGAGATGAGGTTTGGTGAAGTTTTACCAATCTAGAATCTGGCGCTTCAAACCCAACTCGACCCAAGGCACTCTGAAACTCAACGAAACCCAAACCTCAATACCCAAAGCACCATTAATAATACAGAGGTGTTAAGATTTTCCACAGTGGTGTGTATACACACATACATAGAACTATACATGATATACTACAAATATATGGACGGACCATTGCTTATGCATGTTTAGTCTCCTCCGTAGGTGATGTGAAGAATCCTCGCAGACACGGTTTCATAAACCCTCGTCTAAACAGAAGCCCTATCAATAAAAAACAAATCAACGCAGCTAACCCCCCCAACATTGAAGAAGCTTTTGGTAGTTCCCAGCTGCCACTCCAAGGATTTCCGTCCAGAAGGAAATAGAAGCCTGCGACGATGTCCTGCAAAGGGGTAGCTAAGTCTGGGACGTACGGTTTAGGGTGTAGAAAGAGGACAAGCTTCCAGGCACACGGATTAAGAGTCATAGATTGCCCAAAACTGGCAAACAAAAACACATATCTGAGCTTGCGACGGGTATGCTTCTGCAAATGAGTGCCCATAAGCCTCATGGCGGTCATGCGATATACGAAGCTGACACCATGAATTCTAGCCAATAACGCCAAGCCAGCCAGGGGTGGGGGAGTCGTGACATACTCGGGCGTGTATCTCTCACTAATTGCATGAGGCTCGGATGCTGGATCCACTAACCCCAAAACCCGAAACCCATAAACCCCTAAATATCCGAAACCCTAAACCACGAAACCCTATAAAAACCCAAATTGAAGGTCCTCCTTGCCCTTTCCGAAAACCTCGTGCTGGTGCAGAAGCTTCAGTCCCACTGCCAGCAGGGCCAGAGGAAAAACCACCATAAAGCCTCAAGGTTAGGCTTCGGTTTACGGTTTAGGGCAAATAGTGGTGAGGCTTCAGGGTTTAGGGTCGAGGGAGTGCAATACCAGTATCTTGAAAATTGAGAGCGGATGAAGCGGACCGTGAATGCTCATGACGACACATGTGATCATGATGGTATGAGTGTACAGCAAAAACCGACACCGCCGCTTCTGATGGCGATAATAAGGGTAGTGGCTGTGATGGTCATGGTGATGATGATGGTGTTGATGATAGCCATGCCAGATGACTGTGATGGTCATGGGGGGTGTCTTGTGTTGACTAATGTGTCTATCTTTCATAATCCTCTCTTGTCCGGGCTCATCGTCGCGCAGCTGTTGCTGCATATTGCCCCGGCTGTTCGTTCAACCGTACTCTTATATTAGTAGCTCATCCGCCATCAGACTGTCTTGACCTTGCCCACATGGGGGTGTACTGTCTTAGATAGGGTTCTGGCGGACGGTCTTGTTGGATAGGGATCTCGAGATGTAAAAGCGCTCGAGCCCTCAAGCACTCCAACTGATCGCTTGCCACCCTCGAGTTCCGTCATCTAGATTCCCCAGTAATTAGCCCCATCATAATATGGGTACCATGTTCGCTACTATTTGCCCTAGGGGTCCATGTACCCAGGTAGTATATACATTGGCCGCAATGTACCTATATAGGGACTGCTTTAAGGCCAATGTATAGACTATTTAGGTACACGGACCCTTAGGGTTGGTTTACATAAGGGAGCCTTAAACGAAAACTACTGGGGAAACGAGTCCTTCTACTTGGAGGATCATGGGACTTAGTAAGTAGGGTTCTAAGTACCCTAATTGGGGTTATAAGTAATTGTAAGTATGTCTACCCTAACTATAACCCTAGTTACTAAGTCCCATGACCCTTTAAGTACCCCTCTACCCGAGGCCGCCGGGTCACTCCCTGCCTCCGCGCCGAAGCGCAGGAGGCGGACTCAACAGGGGCTGGGTACCCTTTGAGGCTCCATGTACCCGTTTAGGGTTTAGGGTTTATAGGGGTTTAGGGGGTTAGGGTTTAGGGTTTAGGGTTTAGGGGTTTAGGGGTTTAGGGGGTTAGGGGTTTAGGGTTTAGGGGTTTAGGGTTTAGGGGTTTAGGGTTTAGGGTTTAGGGGTTTAGGGGTTTAGGGTTTAGGGTTTAGGGCTTAGTATCCACTTAGGCTTTAAAGGGGGTTCCTATATGGCGAAGAGGACTCGATAGCGAAGCAGACCAGGCACATCTTGGAAAAACGCTGCCGGTGAGCTGAAACGCCAGATACCAGTTCCTGAGAATGCCAGGATTTACGACAATTAAGGGACCCCAATATAATATAGTACCCGAAATAGTAGGATCCTCATCATAAGGACTCCAAAATGAAACCCTCCTAACTTTCGGGACACAGGCATAATTGTCTTTGACGTGTGTCGGACTTTCTGATGCATGAACACGTCCACTTCCATAGAGGCTTAGGGGTTTAGGGTGTGCGGCGGCTCCGGGCCTTTGAGGTTTTAGGTTTGGGGGTTTAGGGTTTAGCTTTAAGGCTTGTAGGGCGTAGCAGCGGAGCTGTCAGGGCTTTGGGTCACAGGCTTTAGGTGTTGACTGTTTGAAGGAGGGCTCTGTGTTACGGGTCTCTCTCTCTCTCTCCTCTCTCTCTCTGTGTCTCTGATGCTTCGACGTGATTGTATCATCGAAGCACGCATTTCAGAACGAGATCGCAAACCCATCCCCGAACCCCACTCATTAATCCGAAAGAGAACAAACATAACCCTAAACTCCAAACTCGACGCTCGAATAAGTCCTGTTCGTGTTTCCCCTCAGGGTTCCAAGTACCTAATACTCACATACTCCCCAAAACACTCACTTACTGTACGTCACAACTATCCCCAACCCAAGTGCACAATGATTGGGTCCTTCGGCGCTTAAGGGATCCTTCAAGGGCTCCTTTCAGGGATCCTTTAAGAGTGCCTTTACGGGTTCCGTTGAGAGAGCCTGCATCCCTAAACCCTAAACCCCGAAACCCTAAACCCCTAAACCCTAAAATAGTGCTCCTTCAAGGGATCTTTTTCTGGGTTCAGCCCAGAGTCGGTTGCCCAGCCTTGACTCCATAGTCAATCATGATGTCCAGCCGGAGCACCGCCGAAGGCGCTGTGTTCTACTCTAAGCCAAACCCAGAGAGCCCAATACCCCTTAATTAAGGAATATAGCTTAAATCATAATATGAAGCCCTATATGTTTTAAGCCATATTCCTTAATTAAGGGGTATTGGGCTCTCTGGGAACCTACTGCAGGGGTTTTGGAGGGTTTAGGGTTTGAAATTCTGGGGGAGACCAGGGCCCCGCGGAAATCCAGTCCTTGGTCTTGTGTGTTACGTGCAACCCAACACCGAAAGCCCGAGACCTTAAACCGTTAGTTGAAACGTCCCGAGCCCCATACCCCTCAACGCGAAGCAACTCTGAGTACATATTCGCGCGGCCCTTCTAGTCATAGTCATGCTAGAGTTGCAGGCATGGCTATAACTACGGTTGGTGATGTAAACCCTCCAATACCTGAAGGACCCTAAACTATGGGAATTATGGTATATTCCTTATTATGGGTAATGCAGAATATATATATCATCAACCGTATAACCCATGGGTGAGCAGGTCGCTGAGAGCCAGGAAAGCTGCACTGAACAAAATGGTTTAGGGGCTTAGGGCTTAGGGTTTAGGGGTTTAGGGTTTAGGGGTTTAGAGGTTTAGGGCTTTGGGGGTTTAGGGGTTTAGGGGTTAGGGGTTTAGGGTTCAGGGTTTAGGGGTATGGAGTGGGTACAAATTTCCCCTAACGCTCCAAGTAATCCTTATTTATGCTTTCTGGTACCTAGAAAGGCCCCTGAAGTCCTATACTCGGGAGTACTTGGACCCTCTCGGTTCGCTCTCTGCATTAACACTTCTAGGCCCTATAATTGACAAGACCTAAGTGAAGAGAGCTCAAGTGGGCGAACTGTATGCTTACTAAGACGCGTGAGCGAAGGCAACCGAAGTCCTAGCGGTACACTAACCTTAAGGGTCCATGTGGCCAACTAGTATATACTTGGGCCTTAAAGTACTCCCTATATAGGTACATTGGGCCAAGGTATATACTATTTGGGTACGTGGACCCTTAGGGGTAAGCCCAAAACTATGAAGTCGAACCCTAAACGTCAAGGCCTAGAAACAAGGCCCTCAATGGTCAAACCTGGTCTAGGTTCCTGAGTAGCCCCTTTACAACAAGGGTACCCTTGTTCCCACTTTTCTGCTTGAATAAGGAGATCCAAAAGCAAAAAGGGCGAAAGTGTACTACTCAGGAACGTAGTGGTTATGAGGCCATGATTATACATAAGCCTTAAAGGGATCCCCATATAGGTACTTTAAGGCCTACTAAGTTTCTACCATATATGTGCACATGCAGCCTTAGGGTAGTGTATGGGCTTATAAGTATCATCGCCGGAGCCCTTGTAGGGTTCGTCGAAGTCTACTTGTTACCTAGTTGCCCTTGTTGAAGAAGACACCTACATGAAAAAAACTAAACCCCAAACAAATTCTCGTGCGACTATAGAACCCTTACATAAAAAAGGGACCCTGACAGTCCCTAACGTAGGGGCCTTAGCAATTAGAATAGGGTTAGGGGGTATAGTATTGTACTATAAACCTATTCTACTTATTAATGCCCCAACTATCATTAGTTTTCTGAAACTCGGTTCCAATGGGTGTTCCCGACTAGTTACAACAACAACTACAACTACAACTACAACTACAACTACAACAACAACAACAACAACTACTACTACTACTACTACTACTACTACTACTACTACTAAACTACTACTACAAAACTGCTACTACTACTACTACTACTCCTACTGCTACTACTACTACTACTACTACTACTACTACTACTACTACTACTACTACTACTACTACTACTACTACTACTACTACTATTACTACTACTACGACGACTACTACTACTGCTACTACTACGACGACGACTACTGCTACTACTACTACGACGGTTACCCGTTTTATGCCCTTCAAATTTCTGAGGAAACCCAACATGAATGGGTAAACGGGTTTACTATGTGGGGGACTTCAGAACATCACAAATTCTACTTAGATCCGAAACCCCAGACCCCAGACCCTCTAAACCCTGAACCCTTTGATCCTAAACCCTGAACCCTCTAAACCCCAAATTTCCATTGCGGCCTGTGTGGTAGCGACGACGGCCTCCGGCCACTCATCCGTGTCGGGTGCGCCTCACACGCGCGGCTCCCCCTTCTGTATTCTTGAGCTTTTTTGGTGTTTACCGGCTTCGGGATTTAGGAAGTTTGGGAATTTGAGAGTTTTAGGGGGTCTGAGGATTTTGGTGGTTAAGGGTTTCGGGTTTTGGAGCTTAGGGGTTGCAAGGGTTTTAGGGTTCTATTTCCGGGTCTCGGGGTTTAAGGGTGTCGGGGCTTAGGGGTTTGGAGGCTAAATTAGAGCTTTATGAGGTTGGGGATTTTAGGTCTCTGGTGGTTTAGCAGAACTTGCTCTTGATTGCCTGCTCTTGGGCGGCCTGCGAACTCCTTCCCTTGCCCTCTCACTCTTGGGTCGGGGGACTTAGTAACTAGTGATTTTGGAGACTTATGAGTACCATAACCCCAATTAGGATCCCTTTTGGGGTACTCACATGTCTACTTACTAGCTACTTTCTAAGTCCCCCGACCCTCCAAGCTACCTCCTCCTGCCAACTTAGGAGCAAAGACGCCGTGGGGTCGTCACGATGCTGGTGGATCAAACCCATCATCTCACGACGATCTCGCCTTAAACGACACTAGAATTAGGATCACTAAGACTCCATGTGCCCATATGGTAGGTACGTAGGCCTTAAAGGGGTCCCTGTATGGGCACTTTAATGCCTAAGTATACCTACAAAATGGGTACATAGAGCATTTTAGGATGTCGTGTGCGAACTTTTGAGCTCCAAGTACAGAAACACGAGAGGCTCAACCTGGAAGCGGAAAGAACTAAAGCTCCTTTCTCTCTGGCATTCCAAAGGACAGCGTACTCGCCATCCACAGATGGAGAGATAGAGAACGAGAGAAAGAGAGCGAGAGAGAGTAGAGAGAGACAAATAGATCGATAGGTAAGCTTCCAAGCATGCATGTCTAAGGACGCATAGATTCACGATGTACACATGCGGGCAAGCTGGGGCTTTGGGTCTAGAGTCTAGATTTGTGGAGTATCGGCGACAGTATCTGTCGCAAGCTCTATCTCGAAGGGTTGTGGTTGCAGAGCTTCATCAATTTTTTAAGGCCATCCTACTTGCGAGATTGAAACAGATCCGCTATCGCCCTCCACCTCCCAAGCCTAAGAACAGGAGAAGTGGCTAACAAACTGAGACACACAAGCCTAAACCCTCAACCCTACACCCTAAAAACCCTAAACCCTACACCCTAAACCCTAAAGTGTCCCACCATGGCCACATGGGCAAAAAAAAGGCCCCAAAGGCCCAAAAGCCTACGACTGATCAGACCGGAACCTGAAGCGGTTTGGACCTATAGTCTCCATTGTAGTTCCCCTTTTTGGTTTAACCAATTTTATATTAAGGATTGAAAAAAGTGACCCCCAAAAAGGAACTACAATGGAGACTATAGGTATGCTCCCTGAAGCTTCATTTTACACATAACCCTCAACCCGAAGGCGTGAACCCAAGAAATCCTAAAGCATAAGCCCCAAATCCCAACACACCCGAACCGTCGAACTGACAACTTGCGACGACCGGCGCCTAAGGGGCTGTCCAAGAACTCTGCGAGATCACCCCCTGCGTCGTGTCGGCAACCCTAAAGCTCCATGTGCCCATATTGGGGTGTCCGAAAATAGGGGACCCTAATATCCTGAAATAGTCAGACTCTCATTTTGAGGACCCCAAAATAAGGTACCCCCTAATTTTCAGAAACTCCCATATAGTAGGTACTTCGACCATAAAGTAGTCGCCAGATGGGTACTTTAAGACCTAAGTATATCTACTACATGGCTACCTGCCTTTGGGAAAGAGACACTAGTACTTGGAGGGTCGGGGGACTTAGTAAGTAGTTAATAAGTAGAGTTATAAGTACCCTAAAAGGGATCCTAATTGGGGTTATGGTACTTATAAGTCTCAAAAATAACCAGATACTAAGTCCCCCGACCCTCCAAGTAGGGTTTACTTAGCACGGTTGCGCGGGCATTTGGGCTGTCGGATTCAGGGACTCCTTGTTTAGGGTTTAGGGTTTCAGGCGCTGGCTTTATGCTTTGCTTATTGGGGGAATGTGCTCACTGGCTTTATGCTTTGCTTATTGGTACTATTTCTGTACTATTACTGTATTACTACTGTACTACTGTTGTACTACTACTGTACTACTAGTGTACTACTGTACTACTATTGTACTACCACTGTACTATTACTGTACTACTGTTGTACTACTGTACTAGTATCGTACTACTACTGTACTACTATTGTACTACCACTGTGCTACTGTTGTATTACTGTTGTACTACTGCACTATTATTGTACTACTACTGTACTACTGTTGTACTACGGTACTATAATCGTACTACTACTGTACTACTGTTGTGCTACTATTGTACTACTGTACTACTATTGTACTACTAGTGTACTACTATTGTACTACCACTGTACTATTGTTGTATTACTATTGTTCTACTGCATTATTATTGTACTACTACTGTACTACTTTTTTTTTTCTTCGCAGCGGTTGAGCCTGGTACAGGCGCTCGCCTAGCACACATGAATTCGAAGTGAAACACCCACCAGAACGAGGCGGTGGGCCCCTCAGCGCCTGTCATCCCGGCAGTGCCAGGCCAAACAGAAAAGCGCTTCACCAGGCCGCATAACCAGCAAGCGAAGTCGTTCCTCCAAAACGGGCCCCCGGGAGGCAATCTTCGATCGCGGGGCCCTCAAACTTTACCCTATGACAGGCGCAGTGACAGCGTATGCGCAAGTTGGGCAAAGCGCAAACAGAATCAACTATCCAAAACAGCAACACTAAGCACCAATGCAGGCCATTTACAACGCCAGTGTTTGTGGCAATATTGCTTCCACAACACATGGGCACATATGGATAGTCTAAAGACATCCACAAAACAAAGCGGCTATAATGATCCGCATGAGCATGCCTCCACTCAAGGTCAAGTGTGGGCATTTGCAAACAAATAACTTGGGATCGGCTACATGTAACATGAGGCCAAAATCCATGCACGGTCCCCATTGGGATGGTCAAGCTCAAAAAGGTTGACTGGCACCACAAGTTGATGCAGTTCAACCTTTGATTGTAACAAAGCTATCCCCATCATCCTGCTGCAACATGCAATCAGAATCCGTGTCACAAGCATCACTCTCCACGTTTGGCAGCTGGGGAATGTTCCAAAGTTCACACCCTGTGTTCCTTGCGCCCACCACGGAACCAATGGCATATAACCAGATGGCGTGGCGGTTCATGCCGATGCTGCCTGCACCGAAGATGCAGAACCACAGCAAAGCATACTGGAACGGCAGGGCGCACACGACCACCTGTTTGATGGTGCATCCGCGCAAGATGCGTGCCATGAAATTGCCGACGAAAGAGGGCCAGCACATCCACCAGTCGCAAGCAATCCACCAGTTCCAGCAAAAGAGGGGCCGCCAGTTCATCCACGAAGGATTGGCGCCCTGGCCGTCATTCGACCGCCACTTTCGCAGAGCCATTTGCGCGAATGTTTCGGTGTCGAAGGCAAACGCGATGAAGTGCAGGCCGATCACGTGGTGGATGTACCAGGGCCCATCTAAGGCGGACGCAAACAACATCACCGCGCTGCCGCATACGAGGGCGCTGTAGGAGACCGTCTTGATTCCCAACTCCGAGCCTGCCGCGACCGAGAGCGTGGCACAGACCATGATGCTGGCAATCACGGGGGGCTCTTGGCGAACTCCATTCCCCGCAGGGCCATGAAAGGAGTTCTGGGGGCTTCGCAATCTGCGCTCGTGCAGTGTTCGAGCCCCTACTGTACTACTACTGTACTACTATTGTACTACGGTACTATTATCGTACTACTACTGTACTACTACTGTACTACTATTGTGCTACTATTGTACTGCTGTACTATTATTGTACTACTACTGTACTACTATTGTACTACCACTGTACTACTGTTGTATTACTATTGTACTACTGCACTATTATTGTACTACTACTGTACTACTACTGTACTACTATTGTACTACGGTACTATAATCGTGCTACTACTGTACTACTACTGTACTACGATTGTGCTACTATTGTACTACTGTATTATTATTGTACTACTACTGTACTACTATTGTACTACGACTGTACTACTGTTGTATTACTATTTTACTACTGCATTATTATTGTACTACTATTGTACTACTACTGTATTATTTCTACTGTACTACTATTGTACTACTGTACTATTATTGTACCGCACCAAGCTTCAGACGTGGTCGATTGTGGGTGGGAGTGTGGGAGTGTAGGTTACGGAGGCAAAAGTGCTCAAAATGAAAGGTTTTCAGTCTTGGTAGTAATCTTGGAGTGATCGGGGCTTGGTTTCCAGCATTTGGTGATCCCCAGACCCCCCCGACCCCCGACCGTGCATTCGCGCAGAACCGCAGACCCTGCAGCCCACAAACCCCGGCACCTCCCTGACCCCTGTCCGGGCTTACCGGCTCCAAATTGAATAAAATTTATTTTTTTGGTCGGGGGGAGGGGGGGGGGGGTACCCCATTACTAAACCGACACACACATTAATAAGGATCCTACTATTTAGGGTACTATATCATGGGCCCCTATTTTCGGAAACTCCCATATTCCTTAGTTAAGGCTTACCCTGAGACCTAAACCCTAACGAATCCTAAACTCCTAAACCCTAACAAACCCTAAACCCTAAGCCCTAAACCCTTCCCAAAAAGGGGTCGGTCCAGATTCGACCCAAAATTGAACTTTTTATACAAACTTTAGTACTGGAGAGGCCTTTGTCGAGCAAGGGTCCAATTCCCAATTCGGCGGTTCACCCTAGCAGCCCCCCCAATAAGCAAGGCATACAGTAGCAGTACAATAGTACAATAGTAGTACAGTAGTAGTACAGATTCTCATTCCTGACGCCCCAATAAGCGAAACAATTCTGCAAGAGATTTTCGGACTTCAGGGCCGGGTTTTAGGGTTGGGTGGGGGTTTGGGTCGTGGCTGCCTTAAGATTGACCATCAGCAAACAGCACAGCCCCGCCACCAAAAAAGCCCCCCCCAGCCACAAAAAAAGCATTCATTAGAACACCCAAATTTTTGGTAAGATTCGGAATTAGCCCCGGAGAAGACGCATTAAAGGGGCCTATATTCCAAAACCGACACCCACATTACAAGGACCCCAAAGCAAGGTACCCCTAATTTCGGAAACTCCCATGTAGCAATGTATCTTAACTTATAGTAGGAATAACCCTAATATGATTCAAGGAATGTTCCTCGATTACGGGATATCGGATAGGAACCGTAATAAGGAACCCTAAAAAGGTAGCTCTTTTAGGCTACAGGCTATGGGGTCTCGATTGGAGAGCTGCTTTGGGGCTTTGCGGGTTGGCGGAGACAAGTGCCAAGTTCCGGCTGATGGTCCACGTACTCCGAACCCACTTGTCGGATATCATGGGGAACTAAAGGTTAACCTTTTAGGGATTATATAGGGACTATACTACACAAAAAAGGTTGAAGGTTGCCTACTCTACTACTAGGTACTCTGGGGCCAATGTATATACTATTTGGGTGCATGGACCCATAAAGTTAGGCTTGCGGTCTCGGGTTCCCGCTTAGGAAGGTTGAGGTCATGGGAGGTTTCACGACAGAGATTTAGGATGCACAATTCCGCGTAGAAGCCCTCAACCCTGAACCCTCTAGCTCAAACCACCCCAAACAAAAAGAGCCACAACAAAATCTTTCTGCTATTCTCATAACCCCCATGTGCCACATGTTCCATGTGCCCTGGTACTCCCAAGATACTTCATGTTGATGTGCCCTGTAGGGCCAGTAGCCGAAGACTACAGCATCAAGATTCAAGCCGACAAGTCTGAGTGCTTCCGAGGGTGCGGCCTAGGATGACAGCCCCCTCCACTTCAGCCATTGTCGGAGCCGCCTGCAGTTGTTTGCTCTTGCTCGTTGCTTGAAAGTGGCTGTCATGAAAAAAGGCTCCATGATACTACCGCGAATGACCTGCCACTAAGGCTAATGTGTTTCCAACGCTGGTGATAAACCCACCACCGCTACCGCCGCCGCCGCCACCGCCGCCGCCGCCACCGCCCCCGCCACCGCCACCACCACCGCCCCACCACCGCTGACGAGACATCAAACCCAACAACAAACCTGAGAAGGCCGTGCTTGGACTGAAGCCCAACCTTGCTGAGCGCGCCTTTAAGACAGAACCATCGGCACCCCGACAAAGGGACACCGCACATCACAGCCCTGAAGCCTAAACCGCAGCATATTTGGACTCTACACCATACCCGCCCAAACGCAGACTAAGTCCTATTTAGAAATGAACCATGTTCCATCATCTTATTGTATGCTTTGAACATACTAGTATGCTCGATCGCGATATATCATACATACACATTGAAGCCTCAAGCCGCCCAGACCTTCAAAGCATCCCTTAGTCAAGAAGTACACCTGGAATTCTAGCAGCTTCCTTCAATTGAGTAGATAAGGGTGCACCTTTAATCATATTAAGATCCCTCGCATAATTTAAGATATACTCCTCCCCTAGGTTCCTGAGTAGCCCCGTAATAATAAGGGTAACCATTCCCTACTATTTGGTTTGAATACGGGAACCCAAAAAGGAAGAAATGGCAAAAGGGTACTACTGAGGAACCTACTTCCTCCATTAAGGGATATTAGAAAGCCCGGGCTGCCAGCCACGTCGGCCTCCTGTGAGGCGTGCGTGCCGCTGCCAGCTGCATCTTGGTGCTGGGGTCTCTTCTAGCGGGTGCAGGGTTTAGGGCTCAAAACCCAAGGAAATAAAAGTTGAAACTGTCAGAATCGACTACATTATAAGAACCCCAAAACTTGAAAAGTTGAGTTTACAGCCAAGAAAGTTTAGCGTTTAAGGATGTATGGCTTGGGGTTTAATTTTTGCAGGCAAGATTTACTAATTTACGGTTCAGGGCTGAGCCATGTGTGAAGTTCTATGGGCTCGGGGTTTGAAGCTTTAGATTTTCGGCTCGGAGTTACATGAGGCTTAGCCCTATGGTTGAAGGCCAACGAATATAAATACTTGGGGTACATGGACCCTGAGGCTTTGGGTTTTGGACTTCGGTCGCAGTTCGGGATTTACAGCAGAACCCTAAATCCTAAACCCTTAAACCCTAAACCGGTACCGAGCGCACAATACATCGCCGCAAGGTTCGAACTGCAGCAAAAACACGGTTTGGGGTTTAGGGTTTAGCAAAAACACGATGAGGGGCTGGCTTGAAAGTCTTCACTGGCATAGATGGTTTTAGCGCATCGAAGCAGAAATCGATACGTCAGAACTGGTGCGCCTTTTGAGGTACGTAATGAATCAGAAGGAGTTTAGGGGCTTAGGCTTAGGCTTAATGCCCATTATGCGATGGTTTCGTTATCAGGGTTCTACTGCTGTGTAACCCTAAGGGTCCATGTACCGATACAGAGATACATGAGCCCCAAGTACCTATATAGGAACTACATTAAGGCCAATGTATATACTATATGAGTACATGGACCCTTAGGGTAAGGGTTTCGGGATCCCTTGGTTCACTTACACAAGAGAAAACTTAGGGACCACCATGGGAGAGTAGGAGTTGTGACCTCACTGGGTATGCGGAGCCAAGACAAACTCAGGTAGAGACCCAGCAAAGCAAAAACAAACACAAAAGGTTGGGATATGCCATACTGCCTGCCTTCTTTCTGCAGGCCAATTACATAGGACATAGGGTATCTCACGCAAAAAACTGTCCCTGAACGCTAAGCCCTCACCCCTGAACTCTAAACCCTCACCCCTGAACCCCAAGCCCTCAACATGAAGCTTACCTGTAGTCTCCATGTAGTTCCTTTTTTGGTTAACCAAAAAACTTGATTATAGGATCCTAACCATAAAACTGGTTAACACAAAAAAGGAACTACTTTGGAGACTAGAGGTAAAGCCGAAATCGACTAGGATCTTCTAGGATCATCTCACAACACATTTTCTCCTGAACCCCACACCCTGAAAGTCTACACCGACTACCTGGACCCTGCACGCCCTTCCCTTCTAGGGTTCCCTATTCTGATTTCCTTCTAAAAGTCCTTCAAAAGGTAGGTTGTCTTACTCCCCAATAAGCCACAACAAAATAAAGGTTGAACTTTTCGATTCCTACGTAACTATAAAAACCCAAAAAGTTGAAAGGTTGGGCATTGGGGATCTAAGTTGCTTGGGGATCCAGGTAGAACTTAGGATCTCAAACCCTAAACCCTGAACCCTAAAACCCTAAACTAAACCCTGAACCCTACCCTAAGGCTCCTGGACCCTCGTAGTGAAATCCCAAATCTTAGCCCGCAAAGCCCAAACCCTTCGCCCAGAAAGCCCATGACCCCTTTCGGAGCCTTAGGGTAAGCCCCAAACCCTAAACCCGAAACCCTAAACCCTAAAGCCCTAAACCCTAAGCCCTAAAACCCTAAACCCTAATACCCTAAACCCTAAAACCCTAAACCCGAAACTTAGGATCTCGCCTCCGACGGGCGTTTGCGAGGAGCTTCTTGGAGTGGACTCATCGGTAGGGTCCATCCTCCCAGCTGAGTTTAGGGCTTAGGGTTTAGGGTTTAGGGCCCTCTTTTCCGTCTGCCCAGGGGACGTCCGAAATGCCTGTCCCAGCTGAGTTTGGGGCTTCCGGTTTGGGCTTGAAGT